ATCAACTTGTAGCCAATCAAGGCAAGGTGGACTGTGCAGCCAATGCATGCACATTAGCCGCACGCACAAAAAGTGCCCCTGTGATTGGCTTCTAATTTTATCTCTAACATATGCTAATAATAACCTAGATCCCACAGAACTATTCGTCAATTTCATAGTTTCAAGCGACTACTATGTGGCATAAGCGCCTGCGGATGTCCGACCCCTGTGAATCCCTAACTGTACTTCGTACCTAGCACCAGATCTTTCTCTCACATCCCGAGCTACGAAGCACTACTGTAAGCACCGGGTGGGTTGGGCGAAAAAGTTTCATTTACGTTTATCTTCCACGACGGCGCAATTGTTGATTTCGATACATTTTTAAAACCCTTATCTATCTACTTGAACAGAAGAGCTATGGGTTCTATAGAATTGCCGGATTCGCTATCATCAGATCTTTGCCTCGTCCACCCCACAGCTGATGAATGCGTCACAATATGAGACAACAGCTCTGCTCCCTGGAAAGATTCGCTTACCGTTCCGCTCTATCTTGAAGAGTCTTTGTTTCTGACAACAGTCCTACTCGCAAAGGATGGCGGTATGACCACTTGGATCTTGGTAGATAAATAACCACCCTTCTGACCTTAAATCAAGTAGCCTCAGCTACTTGCTGACTTGCGATAAAAATCATTAGGTAGGTTAGAAATTGGTTTATATACCTAGGTACCTAGGTACCAGATTACTATTTCTATATCCAGGCCAGGTGTCGCCGAAATACAAGAGCGGGAATGGGAGCGCCGGAATACCATTTACCACTAATTGATCCTAGCGGTGCAGCTACTTCGCGGTTGTGATGATAATACATAATATTACACTAAGCCGGAGTGTCCACGTGATCGAACCCCAACACTTCTATGGGAAAAGGTGCAATTCTAGTATTTTCAGTACAAAATTAGCCGATACTTATTATAAGTTAGACCCCCCTGTATCTATCTAGGCTCTACGTCCGAAGAAAAGATATGCGGAATGAAATCACGTGGATGCACCAAAAGTCACCAAAAAGTTGCTTGTGCATTGCACGCCTGCCTTTTCATTCCGCCCACTTTTTCTCGGACGTAGAGCTAGGTACCTACACTACGGGTCTCATTTTCAACATTGTCCTCCATACTGCATCAGGCCCCTTATACACTCCAAATGAGCATAATGTCGCTCATTTTAGCCTATGCCGAACCATTTGACGTAGCCCGAATCGCAGAAATTCATCTGGCAGCGTTCGGCGCCAACGAGATGCTGCAGGCACAATTCCCTACCCCAGCCGTCCGCGCCGCACTTAAGACTAGTATTGAAAGGAAGGCGTTGGATGATATTAAGGACCCAAAGACAAGTGTGATGGTGGTTTGGGACGTGCTCCAGAGTGAAGAAATTTTGAATGTAGAGGGTGAGCTGAGGGGAACAGTACAGGTCCAGGATGGAAGAGACGCATATAAGAGGAAGGGGAAAATCATCAGTTTTGCAAAATGGAGTCATCCTATTGCGGAGGGAGAGGATTATATTGAGCCGCCATGGGTATGGCCTGAGGGTACAGCAACTGAGGTTTTGGACAACTGGTCGAGAAAATTAGAAGAGGCACAAGAGAGGGTGATTGGCCGAAAGCCATGTTATCGTAAGTATTGTTTTCCTTCGAGGATGAATGGCGGTCCCGAAACGCATCGTGCTATGTTACTTTCCGCTGTTACTATAAGGGACATGCTAGATGGGCCAATCTTGACTTGCTTTTCCTTATCAATTTGAGTAATGGACCTTCTCGCTTACTTGTGACTAGGCCTCAATTTTATCGGCACCGACCCCCTATATGAAAGGCGCGGTGCCGCATCTTTGCTATTACAATGGGGGCTAGAGCAGTGTAGGCGGAATAACAGTCCTATATATTTAGAAAGTACTATACAGGCGGTGCGGATGTACGAGCGAAGCGGCTTCATAGCGAGAGAGAAAATATCTCTAGCACTAGAGACTATCGGGCGGAACGGGGAACCAGAAATCTATACAGAGATCGGGCTTCTTTATAGACCTTAAAATATTTAATTATGAAAAGACGTGTGTATAACCGTGCATTTAGTATTTCACGTTGCTAGACGTCGTCGCGGGGTATTGTCGAAAGGAGGTTATAGCATAGAGCCAAGTCTATATTTAAAGCTGTTAGGTTGTTCGCAGAGTAAGACGGCAAATACTTTTGTTTCGGTTGGGTTGTATGAGAATTTGAAGGGCGCGGGGATTTGTGGGTTATGCTATAAATACTGGTTATAAGTAACAGCTTTTTATAGAGGTTGAGAAATAGAGGCATGAGATGTGTGCTTATGTTTCGGAAATAGAAATAACTGTCTAGCTATCTACACGAGACTCGCAAGGAATATCGATGATGGGAAATAGAGGTTAATTAAGAGGGCTTTGAAGTGTGGAAAGATGGAGACCAAGGCGCTGCTACAGATTTGATTGCTGCTTTGATCCCCCTTGATGGCGAGATTTTGTCCGCTTCTGTTTTTCTAAGTATGAGAACAGCGGCTAACCAAAACGGAACAGAAGAGTAGGAGGTATGCAAGCCGCCCGCATTTGCTGTTAACATCGAGATTAAGAAGAAGCTTTGGATGTTAAGTGAGATGTTTATAAGAAAGAAAATCCGGCGCATATTAGAGGAAGGACTAAGATTAGATGAAAATTTGTCAAAAGCTTCGTTATATCATAATAAACCATAAGGAGAATCGAACGGCGATGAATATTAGGCATATAGACGGTGCAAACGTTGATTGCATACCTAAAAAGTACATGTAAATCTATACATGTGCTGATCATCAATTAGTAAACTTTAGACCTACTAACTTTCCTGATGATCATCCAAAGGCTAATTCTCAGGATACTATTTCTTCGATACAGCATCAAGTACCACGACAGCCTTTGGCTTTATAGATTTATTGTCCTGAAGAGCCTCTTCATATCTTTCATCTGAAGTCTAACCATCTGCACTAACCTCCACCCGAACACGGAATTTCTCCACCTATACATTAATATGATATTGCTCGGCTTCTATACTTAGGTACTTCGCTACTTCCACGTTTGAAAAGTCTATCGGTGCGGCGGGGCGGTTCCCCTTGCTTGCAGCAAGTATTGATCAGTTCTGGAGGAGAAACAGGTTGTGCTGAAAAGGCCGATTGTATGCCTAACTTAAGCCATAAATTGCTAATACCAAATATAATAAAAAGCTCTGATAGCTCAAATAGTTTCACTAGCAGATATCCATTTTCAATGTTTCCTTCAGATACACTGGCATCTTATATGCCGGTTCCAACGGCATCCATCCTCCCTCGATTAACTCTGCATTTATGCAGGAATAATCTTCCAGCTTCTCATTCAACCCCAGCGCTTTATCCGTTACATCCTCAATACTCTCAATCCACTCCTCTGCCTAATTCCCTACTTATCTTTTCCCTTATCCCAATCTGGATACTTCTATAAGCCAAGACCTCGAGACCCAGTCCTCGCTCAGGATCCCACTGGACTCTCACAGGCCGTGCCTTCTCCTCTTCGCTCAAAGCCGCACCATGACATACAACTGCTTATGCAAGTAGATTATGAAAGTTCTCGTGGGTGATCCTGAGCGCGAGGATGTGAGATTGTCTCGCGTCTTTGGTGGAGTAGCCAGAGCGGTACATCATCCAGCACCAGTCTGGCTTGATCCAGGTCGTTCTCGTGAATGAGAAATCGGGGCAGGCTTGGAGTTTCTTGGGAGGCAAAAGCTTCTTCTGCAGTCGAGGCCGAATAAGCTTGGTAGACTGTGATTTTGCGGTCATCGTATGAGGCGTGTATTTGCTCGTAGGGGTTTGGTGATGGCTCCGCCATTGATATGTATGTGTTGGGACCTGGTGATGATAATTTCTTTTCCGGTGCAATTTGTAATTTGCAAGGAGTCGAGTGATATGGAAGCTGATATAGTCACTTTGATAAACTGAGAGTTTTGAAAGGATTGGGGCACTCGCCGAAATGTAGGCTTGGTATGAACTCAGCTCAGTCACAGATTTCCAATGCCAATTGACTCTTTTCAACAATTGAGTAGAACGCAACTTTAGAGAATCAACTCATGATATAGGATAAGAATCAGATAATTTATCGATGCAGCTAGATTCATTCATCACTGATAATGGGATAATATGTACTTCTTCCTGCAGTGAGACAGTTATCTCGCGGTTGATCTCTATGCAAAAGCCCCCGTCATTCAAAATAGAAGGGACAGACACTGCGAGCAGCAAAGGCTGCTGCCACCATTAAATGTGTCTAGGATATGTTCCTTGCGTGTATTCTTCGCCGACCTAGGGCTGCAACTCGAGGGTCCATAAGCTGACGGCTTTGCTGACGCCAAAGCCAGAGATATTCTCGGCTCTCTTTCCAGCTGGCGAAGTGCAGAGGTCGGGAATAGGAATATTTGAGGGGCTTAACATCCTTTCTTTCCGTGAAGCTCGCCGGAGAAAAGAGCAACGTTTGTTCCTGAGTTCGCCCGGCATAGCAATAAAACGTTGAAAAAATACAGATGGTAATTGAGAGCGTGCATATAGCCTAAAACTGTTCGCGGGTGCTGGCATCTACATTATGCTCAAAATATTGCGACTTCGTAAGGGATTCGAAAGAGAGCTCGAAAGAGAGTATTTGAGTGGACAGAGACCGCTTGGTTACCTGACTCCTTTATCTCGAAAGCGGAGACGAATGGAAATAATTACAGAGCGCAATGAGTTACAGTAAACACCAATAGAAATACAAAGAGAGGTCTTAGAGTACATAAACATTATCTCCAAGCTTCGTAAATAAAGGTGTTGCGAATAAACAGTTGTAAACATTTATTCGTCGCAGGGATGATGAGGTGAGGGGTGAGGTTAAAAAAGCTGCAAAATAAACCTCGAAAAAGTTTTATTTCCAAACAAGCTATAGTACTATCAACATCCCGACATCCCAGCATCCCAACACTACAATCCTCTGAAATGCCTCTCGATACATCAACATACTCACTCGCGCTCCTTCGACTCGATGGACGGCGTTGGAATGAATTGCGCCGTCTCAATGCGCAAATCAGCACGCAAGCCGCGGCCGACGGCTCCTCGTACCTCGAGATGGGCAACACAAAGGTCATCTGCACCGTGACGGGACCCGCGGAGCTAAAGAGTACGGGAGGAGCACGAGCTGGGGGTGATAAGGCGGATGTCAGGGTCGAGATCAGTATTGCGGGATTCAGTGGTGTGGATAGAAAGAAGAGGGGGAGGAATGATAAGTTAGTACCCCGCCCTGCCCTGCTCTGCCCGTTCTGGTGCGAGCACAAGATATATATATCGAATTGGGATTGTGATTAGAGATGATATGAGACGATTCTAATATGGTGGCACAAACAGACGTGTATCAGAAATGCAAACGACCATCTCCAACGCCTTTGCCCAATCCCTCTTCACCAACCTCTACCCGCACTCCTCCATCTCCCTCTCCCTGCATATCCTGTCCCAAGACGGTTCTCTCCTCGCCGCATGCCTCAATGCCTGCACCCTTGCCCTTATTGATGCCGGTGTGCCGATGCGCGATTATATCTGTGCCTGCACCGCGGGTAGCACGTCGAGTTATAGCAGTAATGATGAACAAGCGGATCCATTGCTAGATTTGAATGGTATAGAGGAGCAAGAGTTGCCGTTTCTGACAGTTGGAACCCTGGGGAATAGTGATAAGGTCAGTGTGTTGGTTATGGAGACAAGGGTGCAGGTTGGCAGGTTGGAGGGTATGTTGGCGGTGGGCGTGGATGGGTGCAAGCAAGTCAGGGAGATTCTGGATCAGGTTGTAAGGAAAAGGGGTGTGAAGATATTAGAGGGAAGTCAATTATGATTGCATATAGACGCATGGATCTGTGATGGGCATGATACCCTGGTGTTTGGCGTTATAAAAAGATACATCAATGTCACGATTACGAGGAAGTCCTTTTTTAGAATTGTTTCCCAATATACTTTTCCAGGTTACACATCTGTTAATGTACACCCAATGACCAAACCGGCAGTAGAAATAAGAGTTCCTTACTCACAGCTCCTCGTGAACAGTTGCCTTGGGCTTCTCCTCGGAAACTGTTTCTTCCTTAACCTCCTCCACGGTAATGGTCTTTTGTTCCGCGGGCTCTTCAATAGTCACTGTCTCTCCAGCAGGCTCAGGTGTCTCTGGAGTTGGCTCCGCCTCTTCCACTTCTTCCGGAATCAATCCATCAGGCAGTTTTTGCTTAGCGCCTTCTCCCAGCCTAATAGCCTCAATCCAGTTCTCAAGTGCTTCCTCCGTAACATCCTTCTCCGATAGGGTACCCTCTGCCTTTGGCAACTGCTTCCACCATCCCCGACGCCCATTCACAGCAACCAATTCGGTATCAGCTTTGAGATTGAGATAATCTTTAATGGCCCCGTATGCTGAGTTGGTTGGTGCCACGACGTAGAATGGGAAGAGCTTTCTCTTGTGCTGCTTATACTTGTGGGCAAGTTCAGACAATGCACCGACCGCACTGGAGGCCAGCTCGTCTGGGGTATCTGAGAGAAGGGTCAGAATACATGTTCCGGTTCGGGGACCTAAACACTCTTTGCGTAGCTCTTCTTCTGTGATAAGAAGGGAAATTGGTGGAGCAGGATCCTGGATGATGATGGGCTTCTGGGTGTCAACTTTAGGATCAGGTGATTCTGTTGCCTCCTCTTCGAGAACTTCCTCGGTAGCACTGGCGGCGGCGGCTGTTCCCTCCTCGGAAGCTTGAGATGCTGATGCAGACTTGAAGGCCTCCTCCTTCGATGCCTTCTTGGAAGATTTGGATTTCGGAAGCTTGACCTTTGCTGGAGAGGGGTCTGGGTTGGGTGTTGCAGCTTGGGAGAGGAATTTCACAATATCATCCTTCTTCAGCTCACCATCGTACACAATGCCCTCAGCTGCCTCTTTTCCACCTGGGAGGAGGAGAAGTGTTGGGAACTTGGTGATTCCGAATAACTCGACCGATGCCTTCTCTTTATCTCTGATCTGTGCCACACTAACGCTACCCTTGAATTCAATAGCAATAGCCTTCATCAATGCGCTTGTCTTTCCCTTGTCCGTGAATAGAATAGCCTTTGGTGTCTCCTTTGCTCCGTCCAACCATGCCTCCAGCCCCTTATCATCTACCTTCTTGACATTATTCGGGATCTTGTCGATAACCGCATCAACGATTCCCTTTGCAGTTCTCGGTCCCTGGTAATCTTCGACGATGGGCTTTCCGGGTTTGTTGCCAGGCTTGACAATCTTCAATGTTGGGAAGCCTTGTACTCCAAAGCCGCCGCAGAACTGCTTGTTGGATTCTTCGTCACAGTCGACAGCTGCCACCTTGGCAAGACCTGCCAGACTCTTCGCAGCCTTTTCATATGCGGGTTGGAGGTTCTTGCAGTGGCCACACCACGGAGCGTAGAATTCGACGATCTGCGGGGTAGGTGGGTTGGTTAGTAGATGAAAGAGGGGCGGGTGATGGATGGATGGAATGTGCACAACGTACAGAGGTGTAGTTGGATTTTGCAATAAGACGGTCGTAATTCTTGCCGTCAATCTGGATGACTGGAGAGTTCTTGGTGTAGAGACCAGCGTTGACGGGTAGTGCAGCTAGCAGGGCAACGGCTGCAAGAGAGATGGAGGTAGTATGAACCATTTTGTAGTGTAGATCCTCAGTAATGTATTGTACTGTGAGAAGGGTATCTGTCGTGAGACTACTATTAAAGCTGTAGCAGCTACGGGTGAGATCACAACATGAATTTATAGGAGAATAGAAGGATGCTGTTGGTGTTGACAAGCTGTCCTGTTGTCCTCCGTGTGAAAAGGCCACCTTTGATGACTTGCGCCAAAATCCGGGGAAAGGACGCTACTGTACTGGAAACTCACCCGGTTACAGGGGTATTTACAGGGGATAGCTTCTGGACTTTAGTGGCTCCTCTAGGATATTCAGGCCATTTCCAGGCCATTTTACCGCTCGTCTCAGTGTTGATCGCAGCGTCCCGCGCGTCATAGGCAACCGCCACAATCTCACCCCCTCGTTTGTGTAATAGCTTCAGCTTCAGTTCCAGAGCTCCGGCTACTGTCACTTCTTCTACATCAACCCTCCAACCCCCCCCCCCCCCTCATCTCTAAATACACAATGGCTGCCCATGTCCCCGCCAAATTGAAGGCGGCAGACCTCACAAGATTCATCGTCCGCGCATCACAGCTCGAGAGTGCAAAGCCTGTGATAGCATATTGGTGTAAGTACCTGCTTCCCCCTACCAATAGACAAATACTCATCCCCCAAGGCGAATACTGGATTGTCAATCAAATCCTCACCAAAGGCCTACACAATGGCGATGCCGAAACCCTCGAATATACCACGACTTTGATGGATAAGCTGGAACAGGTACCTATACCTACCAATAACAATCCGATGGCATCTTAGCACATGCTGAGCAATCTACCAGATCAAAGCCGATAATGCCGGAAACGATGCCATTATAGACGACGTTGCTGGACAAGCATATGTGGAACAATTCGCCTTGGAGACTTTCCAGAGAGCAGACAGAGCCGTACAAGCAGACAAGGTTACAAAGTGAGCAGGCACACATATTTGATAGTGAGACAACTGGAACATCTTCTGACTGGACCCCAGGCAAACCGCAGACACCTTCCAGGCTGCTTCGACCTTCTTCGAGCTCATCAATATCTGGGTCGCACCAGACGCCGAAACCCTGGCCAAGATAAAATATTCCAAATGGAATGCTGTTCGGATAGTGAGGGCCTTGAAAGAAGGAAAGGATCCAAACGAGTCGAACCCAAAGCCCGAACCAACCCCAGAAGAATCTCTACCAGCATTAGATCCCAACGATCCAGAAGTACAAGGATTTGGAGAGCCTACTAGGCCGAGACAGGCTTCTGTTGAAGATGTCCCAGACGAAGCCGATCAAATAGAGGCACGGCTTGCGAGACAGTCTTCAATCGACAAATCTTTACACCCTTCAGCGCGTGGATCTCCAGGTGTTGGTGGTTCCCCAGCCTTTGACCCCTATCCGCGGGACGGGTTCCCGTATACCGCTACCCAGGACGACAATGTCTCGCCCCTAGAATCGTCCCCCCATGGCAGAATTGGTTCTGTCGGTGGTGGATACTTCCCAGAAGTCCCGACGTTCACATCAGAAGTTCGAGGCTCTACGCTTCCTGCAGCTCCTCTTGATGATGTCCTCGACCTCGGACTGCCCGATCAACCATCGAATGCACCCGGCACCAAGCCCTCTGCAGACTTGGAGTCTTTCCCGCCCCCGACAATGAGTGACCAGTCTCCCCCTCCGTCGCCACAAGAATTTTACCGCCCAGGCTCCCCACAAGCACCCTCGCATCCACCTCCACCCAAGCAACACTACCCGCCCCCTCCTGTTCCTACGTTCCACCAAGCTCCTCCACCACAGCAGTTCAACCCAGTGCCCTCACCAAACCCAGCGACAATTCCTGTAGCAGTTCAACCTCGAACTAATAAACTGAACACCGACGACATTTCTGTTGCCAAAGCGCAGAAGCATGCCAGATGGGCCATTTCCGCCTTGAACTTTGAGGATGCAGAAACTGCAGTCAAAGAGTTGAGGGCAGCGTTGCAAACGTTAGGTGCAGTATGATTTGGAGGGCATTAGTTGGATTGTATATTGTATTTCTTAGGTGGCGGCTTGTCGAATACCCTGTAATTAAGTTCACCTAAAACCTCTCCAATTGCAATAGCCATGACACAGATATCCAACATCCGTATAGCTTCTCGCCATTTATAGTCTATTCTGGAATATATATGCTGCTGAAAAAGCTAAAATGAAAAAAGAATAATAACTAAAAAGGCAGAGAGCTTTACTACCTATGATATGCATCCAGTCTTGGGGGGGGGGGGGGGGGGAATAGTGCTGTTTACAACCTGCTAATTGCATGCCCATTCACTCACTTCCAACCTGATCCTTAAACTCAAACACCATATCCAGATCTCTCCATTTCTCTCTCTTGATATTCTTGAATAGTAATTCAGCCACGACGCCCTGCCCAGGGATCTCCTTAATCTCATCCGTCTCAACCAAGCCGACGCTCTTCGTCATTGCTCTCATCGAGGTATTATATTTCATGGTACCTGCCTCAATAATATCCGCATCCACTTCATTACTCAACCGCAGCAAGACCTGCATGAGCATCTTTCCCAGTCCTTTCCCTCGGACTTCCGGGCTTAGTCTGATACCGATGTTTGCGACACTCGGCTTCTCGTCGGGGGCCGTGATCTCAAATACCCCTCCCCAACCTACGAACTTGCCCTCTAAGGACATGAATACGTCGAGAGCGTGGTGTCGGGTCCGGGACTCAGCGTACATCTTCTGCATTCTTTCGCCGGGAATGGGCGCTGGAGCTTGAGGCTCGGCAGGAGGGCCTTCGACGCTCTTTGGGGCCGGTGGGCTAACTGCTCCTTCTGCGAAGCGTATAAATGCGGCTGTCTCGCCGGGTGTCAAGCGGATGAATTTAAGGTTTGGCTCTGGGCGAGAGGGAAGGGTAATGGTCCCGTCCTTGGTAAAGAATCTATCGTCTGTTTGGAAACGTGTCATGGTTTTTTTTTCTAATTGTCTTGTTTCTTGAAATAGAATAGAAGTTGAAAACAGATTCATAGATAATAACTTATGTTGGACTACTACGGTTCTGACTGCTGGATTTAGCAGCTTTTATCGCTGTGTTATGCAGGCTCGACCGCTCGTGTTGGACTTAGCTGCTTATATAAGTGTCTGTGGAATCAATCTCTTTATTACGCTACTCTGGCCTTCTAAGAATACACACAATTATATGCCCATCACTTCTATACTAGCTTTGACACCAATCATCGTCCTCTCTATGACCAGCCCAGCATTGTCTAACAGCTCGCTTGAACAATTGACCCTCACTTAACGTGCTTCTGCTGCCATGAAGCTAGAGATAGCTCTAATTATATATTATACTTAGTATATAAATGCTTTATAGTATAAAGAAGAGGTGTATAGAATTTAAAAATAATCTATAGATCTATTCTTAAGTTATTAGAATCTAAAGTGGGAGGTCTCTAAGTGGCGGTGAGCTAAGCGAGGTGGCCGAAATGGGGGGGTGGCCGAAATGGGACTTATGGGACATGTTGAAAGAGACCGAGGCTGTGATGGCGGCAACTAAGAAAATGCCCATCCAGGGGCGTTGCTGCTCTTGAAGCTGGGTCTTGCTTGAATGTCCAAGAAGATTCCTCATGCATTGCAATCGTTGAAAGAAAATTGCTGGGGGGAAGTAATGCTTATTTTCCGGTGCCATTCCAGCTCTAAGAGATGTAGTAACCGGGCTGTTCCGTTGCACCATTCATGTCTCGACACTACCATTATCCGGATAACCAGTTGTATTTCCTGAAGCGAATACCATCACAATATGCAAAGTGCGATTAGAAGAGAAAAATCCTATCCGGTGAGCCTGGTGGCTTAGATGTTGGGTGGCTGAATATATGAAACATGGGGCATTGCCTTTGAGGCAAAGCGAATTCGATTGGTGGAAAGCAGTTGGCGGTCATGTGATGGGCCGCTCTCGGATTTCACTATGTGCTTGAAAGCAACCGAATCAGCCTAGCCCTCAAAGGCTCCAGGCAGGTAAATCATGCATTGTATCAAGGAGAAGCTATATAATCCGATGCGGCGTGAAGAATCATGTTCTCTCACTATCTTCAACACCACAATCCAACTCTACTCTACTCAACTCCATCAACATCAAAAAGGCAATAATGATGATCAAAAACAAATCCGTTGTCGTTCCAGAAGTCGAAAAGATCATCAACTACCAGTGCAATAATCCTGAATTGTGTTGGGAGGCGCTTCAAGGCAAACAGCCAGGGAAATACCCCGAGGGAAACAAACGCCTGGCAATGATCGGAGATAAATCGATGGCGCACGCTCAGTTGAAGGAATGGTATGGTACAGGAACAAGCACAGGTATGTATATTAAAGGACTAGGATTACGCTGGAAAGTTCGCTAACTGGCCGCAGAGGCTGGCACCATGATTGTATGCACCTTAGGCGCAAACTCGCACCTTATTAGGCGTGGGAAGCAGCTTGGCCTGGACAAATTCATCAATCCAAGCCCTTCCCAGAAAGGAGTTGTGAACGACAGCTTGGTTGCTGATACGGTGGAGGCACTGATCGGTGCCGTCGAGATGGATGGGGCGACGAAGGAAGAATTGGAGGAGGTTATGAGAAGACTCGGCGTTCTTTGAGGGATCAAGACACTAGCGACACGGATCCCGCGGTTTTTATGGCCTCGTCCGCAACCTCTTATCAAAATAACTCGAGCTCGGAAGTGTGGAAGGGTCCTTCAGCTTTGACAAACTACCATGCTCAACACAAGGAAGCTTTTCAGAGCCCACGTGAACATCTGCGCCGACTTTGAGCTATCTTCAAAAAGACATCGACGTTGCTTGGAAGAGAATGATGGTAAATGGTATGGAACGATCAGCTCGGAATCATTTTTGACTTTTGGTATGTTTATTGCCTGTTGCATCACGATATAGAATGCTTTCTTGGCGTAAATTGGGCAGCTTTGCCGCTTCATAACAATGATGTACATAATCCTTAGATGAAATCCATATTTATCACTGACTCTAGTCGTATGAGGGATAGAATCATGTGCTTGTAGATGGGCGAGGAGAGGAGTGCGATCTAGAAGAGAGGTTAGGAATATGGGCGCTTCCTCATTTTAAGACCTCTAGAGGGATCCTGGGCTGGGGTCGTTAGTATTAGCGCTCTAGATAGGGTGGTTGAAACTAAAAGCCGCTTGGTCGGTATTTGTGCTCCACAGCAAAATAAACGAACTCTTGTCTGGAGATACTCGAACCTCGCTCTCTTTATAACTCATATAGTGTTTTACGACTGTCTCCACAAAAGAAGAAACCTCATCCTCCTACTCCTCCCTCGCAAAGAGGCCCAAAATCAACTGTCTCCCACAGGCAGCCGCAACATCAAGTGCACTAAGCCCCTTCTTATTTTCCTTTCGAGGATCTACCCCTCGCGCAACCAACTCCTTGAACAAAACCACACCCTCAGGCTCAGTCATTTCAAGCCCATCCTCTTCATCTTCCTCTCTTCCCGCCACAGCATGTAGCAGCGTGTCCCCATCAAGATTCACCGCAAATACGTCATGCTCATCGAACATTTTCCGAATGTCTTCCTCGGCAGGTGCTTCGATGGTTTGCATATCGCAGCGGTGTTTGATCTTCCTGACATACGGAAACAGAGACGTATCCCCATTGTCATCGCGACTATTGCGTTCACAACCGCCGTCGACGAACCGCTGGTACAGGTTGCTGAATTCGGTGAGATACTTAGTCTTATCGCCGGTCTGATAGACATATTCGTCATACTCGGGCCCATTATTAGGACTGAATTGTATCAGTAGCGGGGAGAGCAAGTTCAACGCCGTTCTGCCATCTGGGCCTTTGTTCAGAGGATCTGCACCCGCAGATAACAACTCGTTGGCCAATTTCAGACATGGTTTCCGATTAGGTTGGTTTAGAGCGTAATACAGCGAACCGATCCCTGCGTTATTGGTAGCAAGAACGGAGGCGCCCTTGGCTAACAGTAATGTGACAGTCTTCTCAAGTCCAGATTCAGCCGCGAGGTGAAGAGCTGTTGAACCAGCGTTGTCTTTGGCATGAATGTTTGCGCCGCCGAGAATCAAAACTTGTGGCGTGGACTCATCTTCTGTCTCGCGATAGAAGTTCTCGTCCGGAGAGCACGCCGAGAGTAGCGGAGTACGTCCTTTAATATCTTGTATTTCAAGATCAGTCCCAACTTTAATGATGGGTTCAATGATGCCGTGACTTTGAGCGATCAGATGTAAAACGGCTCTCCAGAGCTCGTGGAAAGGGACACTGCCTACGAGAGGATGCTGCTCAATGAGACTTTTCAGTCTCCCTTGCAGGGATATGCTATGATCCAGAAGTTGATACAAGCAATCTCGAACCAGATTCTGGGGCTCACTATTCGATTTGATAATGCGCCGGGAAAAGAAAAATAAAACGGGTGTAGTCTCGTTCTTCAGGGCCTGGATAATATTGGCAGCGACAACCGATTTGCCGCTGCCAGGGATTCCTTGGACCCATAAGGAGCCAATTGCATCATCGTGCCATTTTTTATATTAATCTGTCTCAAAAAGCCAATATCCAGTGCCTGCAACATGCGCGTTGAGATGTTTTCGATATTCGCTGCCCTCAGATTCAAACTCCGTTGGGGACAACCATGTGCGAATTTTGTCAAGGTCCTCAGGAGTCACTAGAAACTTTAGTTCTGGCTGTAATCAGAGCAGCAAAGGGCTTCTACCTTGAGGAATGGTGTCCTCGTCTTGCTCTGATCTACTATCTTCTGCATATAGTCAGTTGGTGGAGGATGCGTTCGGATAGCGGTGAAGCTCACCATGCCTCTCGACAAGTACGAAATCATCGTTGTCCGGATGTGCCATCGACATAGCTGATGATTTTACAAAGAACGAAGTATATGACAAATGTTGATGGAAGTCGGCTTCATTAACATCGTGATGGCACTAGCTCCTTGTTGCCTGAATGCGCTGCAGTGGGGCTACTCTTTACCATCGGGGAAAGATCAGTGGTTCTAAACACATCACGAGTCAAAATGTAATGTTGCTACGTACAGGGTCATTGCATTGCAATAATTCTCATCGACCATAAAATCGGAATAATGATTGAGGTAGCAGAGGGTTTGTTATCACGTCCGGAGCACTTGGGGAAAGGTCCTAAGATAAAAGAATATAGCCCTAAAGTTCAAAGAAACTTAGAGAAGAAAAGACTACAGTCCAGGAGTTTCACAAATGTTTCCAGTGCTTAATATTATTAATTAACCTAGTCAGAATATACTACATCTTACTTAGCCACGATTTTAGGCCCGATCACGTGTGTGGGGTACAATGCTGTCACGGATCAGAGCATCGGTCAGAGCTCGTCTGTACGCGGTGGCAATAGCACAAGTCTCGAGCTCAAATAGAGCAAGATGCCTCAAGGGAGGAGAAGAGCACGATCCTCGGCTCCTATTAGGACGTCCGGGACTTCGAGGCTGGAGGAGAGTGCGGTAGGTATTGTACCGGGATGCTGGAGGTTTTGAACAGGAGGCTTAGGCGGGGAGATAGGAACATTGCTTCATAAAGTTTCTATCATACGCTTTTAGAATGGGCTGTTTCTCGCACAGGACAAAAGAACCCTCATGAAATCCGCAATGTTCAAAGTCAGATTGAACATTTATCGATTTCTACTCGGCATTTGGGTCCCCTTTCTCCATCGCTAGCTTCTATCGCCAGCATACTGTAACAAAGCATTTAACATGCAACGCAAGTCACTTTATAAGTCTGTGGGATCGCACAAACCTTTAACCCCCCACATTCACACCCCAACGCTTTCATGACAGGTTATTCGCCACGCGAAATGGGCGTGGCTCAGCCTCGCGACAAAACACCTGTCTTTCGCAACATTCAAACCTTAATCACTCATAGAACACGACGATCCTGGAGCTGCGATAGCCAACTTCAATGTCGATTACCTTCGGAAGCGTTGGGGATATCATAGCGGTCGGGCAGATCGCATGGTCCTTGGCCAAGTCCTTGACCGACTCGAAGGGTTCCGCGAAGGAGTATCAAGGCCTGGTCAAGGAGCTGAGAGCGTTTGAACGAGCAGTATTACAAGTGAGCCCTCAATCTATTCGCAGAATGTAATTGAAGGAGTCTGACGGGTGTCTCACAGATTGTTGCGCTCTGGCAGAACTACGACAGTCCTGATGTGGTGACGACGGATGTTACGAAAGATTGGCTGGACGCATTACGCGCTTTCAAAGAAAAGGTTGATAGGAAATATGGCAGGTGCTTGGCGAGCTCAGGATCTGGGAATTGGGTGAAGGATGCGTCGAAGAAGGTGCTTTGGTTAAAGGAGAAGGAGGACATTTTGCATCTGAGGAGCAAGTTGACCTCGGCGAGTGATACTATCACTATGTTGACACTTTCAGCAATGGGGTTTGTTACTATCCCTTTCTCAAATTGTGGTTTTGACACGCGATAGTAAATCGAATAAATTGGCTGAAGGGGACATCAAATTTCGAGTTCGCGCAGTCCATCTGATGTTGGAAGATGCCAAAAAGCGGGCTGAACAACAGGCCGTGCAGCTCAAAGCAATAGACGAGAAGATTGAGGCGCAGTCGAAGACTTCGGATCTTATCTTAAGTAATGTCAAGAGTAGCATTGTATCTCTGTAAGTATTGGAAGATCTCAGTCTAAGATTGAATGTAACTGATCTTTCGCGCTAGGACGCAGGTTCATTCTATGACTATCGATATCAAAAACATACTATGTCTATTCCAAAGCCATATGACATTACAGCAATCTACTCCTCGAGGAATCGGGACAGGCTGGCAGTATGATCCTGTAACTTTGGAGGATGCGCTTGGTTTTCGGCACCTTATTCCCCTGGACGTAGTGACCTCTTGGAAAGTAAGCATGACTAATTTTGAGTCAATTCTTGTGGACTAATTCCTAATTTAGATTCTCGATGTGATTCTCTTAGAGCGTTTTGAGCAACGTCCTGGATACCAGAAAATCCTGAAGGGTGAGTTTGCGATCGAAGAAGGTATCACTGGACGCGATATTAGCCGAGAGAATGAGTTCAAGATGTGCTTCCGTCCAGGCCAGAAGATTGAAATGAGTATGATCTTCTCCGACGTTGATGCGAACAGCAATCATTGCCCTCGTTGTCGTACAAAATCGGAGGCTTCTACTGAAGCTAGAACTCAATGGTGAGTAACATGAAGGAGGGTTGGTGTCTCAAGCTCAGACGCGAATCAGTTAATTCGTTTCAATGATACAAAAGAGGACTGTCGGTGATTATATACAGAAGCTGATACCTTTGTAGTACCTCTTGCCAAATGTGGTTTCAAAGACTCGTGGAGATTGATGATAAGTCTGATCCTGAACCAACCCTAGAGCCTACTAAACGACCCCCGGCTGCTGTTCATAACAGCGCCAAAATCAAGAAGCCGAAGTTCGTTGTCTTAACGCCAGCAGACTTTCAGAGAGTCCGGTTGATGAGCATACTACGACCTAAGGAGCAGAAGGCAGAGGAGTTGCTCCAAAACCAAGGCATGAAGGCGCGTCTAGAGCAGAATAGTATGCCCATGCCCCGTACGGATGTGCTAGATTGGCCGGGCAGTCAGCCTGGTGGAGGCGGTGATTTCTATGCCATGCGAGAGCACCAAATGCAGTTTATGCCCAGAAGACCAAAGGATAGGAAGAGATTCATGAAGCCGCCTCAAGGGCGAGATAGTATGCCCATGCCCCGTAGGGCCCGTAGGGATGTGCTAGATTGGCCGGGCGGTCAGCCTGGTGAAGGCGATGATTTCTATGCCATGGGAAAGCACCTAATGCAATCTATTGTGGTGGGGTTGGTGTTGGACAATGCTGGTCATAGAGGGCGTCATAGAGAGGACGATAAATAGGATCAGAGCTAGCATAAACGTGATAGATAGATAATTATATATATTTAGTAAAGATAAGCTAAGTATATATAAAGAGTTTTATCCTATAGAGGCTTATATAAGCAGCTTAGTCCGACAGTTGGGGTTGAAACAAGTTGTTATGTAAAATGGGGTAAGCAGCTAGTAAAATATCGTACTCTATGAAATCGGACATTTCTATAGACTTAAACCACTATTCATTCTATAATATACTCTTTTATATAGATTATTTAATATATATATTTATATAATAATAAAACTATAAGTTAGATCCTAGCCTAGAGTCCGCGGTTGTATTGACCCTCCACACTATGCTTAAACTACCGCCAATGAGTTGGATGTAGATGATGCTGTGCGGGAGGGAGTGGATGCGCGCTAGTTGCCCGGCGCTGGTAGCGGTGAAGAAGGTCCAGCTAAAGGAGACAAGGGTTATAAAGGTTGCTGTTGCATTTACTGCAGACTATGAAGATACAGGTTAGCACTCCTTTGATCTTCAAATGTTTAGTGCGGAATTATTAGTAAGTCGTCTAATTGAAGGGAATTTGAGTACTTCATGAGCTTTGCAGTGTGCAACGACTTGATCCGCTGTCCAACTGGGAGGTGAAGGAGGCAGGAATCCTAAACCAGGAAGAAAAGATAGAAGACAAGAGTCAGAATTCCGCATGAGGCCCCGAACTTGTTCAAGTAAAGTGTTATGGGTCGTTGAAAAAGTTGTCATAATGACGGCAGTGTCAACATCGATCAATTACTTTGATGAGGAACATGGAATCAGGACGAGATTTTATAAGACAATATCGATCTGATAGGCAATTCGCTTCCGTTGTCGTGGTTAGACCACATGATTTACGTAATCACTTTAGGCGATACGTGCAGGCATAGCGAAGTATAATGAATCATTAATTACCTTTAATAGGCTAGTATGGTTACAGGATGCTACCTTACGCGATAAGTAGAGTTTGGAGGGGGACAAAGGTCGGGTCGTGATCAAATAATTACTTAAAATCCGAAAAGGGGTACTACTATAATTTGCCCTGGAGGATAGAATAATTGATGTCTATTTCCAGGGCCCCTACCAGAGCTGATTTAGCATGTTAATCATCTTTCACTACCTAGGTAGGTAACGTATCTCACGCGTGTTTAAAATTATTTGCTGCCAAACTAGTAGTAATAAGCTCCAAAATTTTAGAGGCTTAAGCGAGACTGGAAAGGGGTTAGAAAGTCACCCTACACTGCTTCATCCTCAATCTCTAACCCTCCGACCTTGAACGTTTTTCCTTTTCGATCCTCATAATTATTATGATCATGATAATTCTTCACTCTAGTCCACCGAATTAGCAGGGGTTCTTCCTGAACTCTTTTCATAGCAGAGAGCTAGGCTCTTGACAAACCAGGAACTAGCAGTTGATATGCAAAATTTTACATACCTCTCCCTCACATACTGTAGCCCTGTAACCCTCTCCCTCGTTACTTCTCCTTCATCCTCCTTAATCATACCCAATCTGCTCAACAACGGCGACGGCGCAGGCGCAATATCGACCTCGTCCCCCGGTCTCACAAAATAAAACAAACCAAGTCTATGAATATGATCTTGATCTGCCGGAGGCCTAGTAACCCTATGAGTCGTAGACTTCAGATACCCCGCAGACCAAAATTGCATCGCATCTCCAACATTACAAATTATTCCTCCATCAACAGGGGGGATGTATTTCCAACCCGCCTCTTTAGTTTTGATTTGCAGACCTGCTACACTTTGGCTCCAGAGCAGTGTCAGGGAACCGAAATCTGTGTGAGCGCGTGACCAGCTGTTATTGACAAGGGCATCTTGGGCGATGGAACGTGGCCGGTAGATCATGTAGCGAAGATGGTCTTCGGATTTTGAAGAGTATAAGTGTTTGGAGGAGAAATAATCAGGTGGAAGTTCCAGGATTAGCGCGAAGAGGGTGAAGATTTTAGAGGCTAGTGCGAGGGATCGCTTGGAAATGTATTAGTCGATACCAGAATTGAAATACCTTGTAGTTCCTTACTCTTGAGAAATCTTCGATCTCTGCTAGGTACGGGTTAAAGAATTCGTGGCGTGGTTCGCTTGCAAGCTCTGGTATGAACTTTGCGATGTTGACCTTTCCACAATAGATTCAGTGTTGAGATTGAAGCTTGAGGGAGTGCTTGAACTTACGCTCTCTACGTTATCTAGAACTTCTGTTCCCATTACCTTCTTCTCTCCCGCCTAATCATATTTAGCAATTAGACGTCAAATGATTTTTTTCAAACTTGCCGCTCGATACCCGAAATAATTCCCCTTTCCAAAATCACATCTCAGCTCCGGCTTATCCTTGATATCTTTCGGCAGATTCATAAACGCTTGTCCAATGCTGTACTGCCTCGTCACTTCCTCATCCGTAAAACCTGTGCCAATTATGCTAAAGAAGCCGGTTGTTTCAACCTAAGATTAATTGTAAGCTATGCAACTACGACGTCTTATGGTATGGTATTATTACAGCATGTTGAAGCTGCTCCGCAAGCTTTTCCTTTCCTCCTGGTTCATCAAAAGTTGAGATATCAATTATAGAGATGTCCGCCCACGGAAGGTCAACTTTGGTTGGCGCCGGCCTCTTCCAAGTTGAAAGAACGGATGGTTCTGGTGAGATTAATGAAGGCATGGCGTTGCAAGTAGATAAAGCATTTTCTTGAATCCAAAGACGAATAATTGCAGGATGAAGAAGGTATATCAATGGAACATCGGAGATTGTTAGTGCGGGGCGAGAGCACGATGTAGGACTCCGTTTACCCCGCTAAAAGTTCGCCAGCAAGGCTCGTGACCGCCAATGGGAATTTAAAATGAGGGTACTTAGTAGCACGCAATAAGCAGAGTGAAAGATGACATCATGCCTCGTCTAACTAGTCGTAACCTGCTTATCACTAGCAGAGCCAGATAGAAGTTTGTGCTACGTCAAATGGACCATTAATCTGACTGATACTAGTGGAGCGACCGAAAGCAACTTTGAGGGCTGAGAATAAGAATTTGACCGAGGAATCATTTAGGAGTTTTCAAGGATTGGAAAAGATTCAATTCAATTGCCAGCCTGTTCTTTCCACAACGTCCTAATTCCAAACACTTTTTTATATTCTACAGATCCCCTATGCCAACATGTACAAAGAAAACAAACCCGCTCTAGCACAAAGCACAACCACAGCAGAGAGTTGCATCACACCCCTCGCCAGCCTCAGCCTGTTGATCACAGGCACCACAACTTTGGCCAGGGCACGAACGAGCGATCATCAAAGAGTTTACTTCAGAGACAGCCGCTCCGGAGACCAGTCCAGCGGCAGCGATGGTAATGAGGGTGATGATAGAGAATTGCATATTGGTCGGAGTTGATATTGGCTGGTGTTGAGGTACAGAAATGCTATGAATATCATTAGTATTGAGTATTATATTAAGCTTAATATTGGCCTTACAAGCGTGCTTGGTAGTATTAGGATGATATTATTGGAAGACTGGCTTCTGATAGGAATGCCACTGGATGGTGTATGCTGGAAGGCTGGCTTCGTGATTCTTTTGAAAGATTGCGTGATGAGAATTAAAAGTGATTTGAGGTGGTTATCATCTGTATTTATACTTGAAGTAGTTCTTTTCAATATTGAGTCATGTTGCACTTGATTTGCCAAATTTACGTAGCAAGCACTTAGGAGTTGAAAATTGATAGACATTACATTTCCAGAAAAGTAGTAGCTTTGTTTCATACAGAAGGAGCTGATATAAGGTCTTGATAGTAATATCACAATTCTTGCATACCTGGGTATGTAAAATGACAGTGAAAAAGACAGTCGACTCGTCATGATTAGGGGCCTCGCCAAAAAGCGACTGCGAACCCCCCTGACAATCAATGCTTAAAGTTAAGCGAATGGGTCTCCAAAACACGACCCTGCGGGTTATTATTAAATGCAGTACTGAGTAAACCGATTCTTTGGGATGTTGATTTAAGCTCAAAACTACTTTAGGGGATGATCGTTCCAATTCTGGTATGTGATCTTCAAATGCACAGATTTTGTTGCTGAGGCTCGGTGTGGGGAAGGGGCCGAAACAGTGGTCGAGGTGGCGAGCAAAATCCTCCTAACACTTGAAACATTCCTACCGAGTTTCAACATCATTCACAGTCTCACTGTTACAAAGCAACCTCACACTCTGAATAATCTCATCCATGGTGTTTTCTACGATATTATGCACTATCAACAGGGCATGCCTCTATGGGTAGGACCTATAATGATGGCTCGACTCTAAGATACACGATTACGAGAGCCACAATGCCAAATATCCTTGATCTTAAGATACATTCTTATGTACCAAGGCATGCAATAGTAAGCTCGTCTAAATCCTTCTGAAAGATAAACCGACTTGGTTGTGACGGCCTAGTTTCAAGTTATGATAACAGCAGGAAATAATAATTTAGTCCAGTACAACTAACTTAGACTTTCTGCTCCCAATTCGTGTGTGCTAGTCGTATACGGTGTGTACTGTGCATTCCTTACTTACACTACAACACTAAATGCTACCTCCTCTCGCAAGCACCCTGACATGTCCGCAGACGCGGTCCATCAGTTCTACGAGCTTTTCTCTCTAAATGAAATCTCAGATCTTGTCATCGGACCCCTTTGATAGAATGTGAAGACCCAACGATTACACCGGCAGAATTCGCCACGCTGTGCGAGGTGGCTAATGCCAACAATTATGCATATTTACGACGTCTATTGAGTCTCTGGAAGTGGGATCTAGAATTTCGTCTCCATAGATGATGATTTCATCAAATTGTCTAAAGAGTACGTCGCAACAACTTCCCATCAAAAGACGAAGAAAGACATAGTGCAGTTTTGCATGTTAGGCTGAAAATCCAACTGATTGCGAAGCCTTTTCCTTCCTTCACAACTCTTTTTTTTCATCTCTTCCTCAGAATGCGTAGATTCCAAAAGTTAGGGAAAAGTAGGTCAAGTGAAGGTCAGAAGTTTAGCTTAATTTCTTATTTCAACGAAGTGCTGCTTCCCAAACTTCTAGCCTCTGGGGATTGAAACCCCTCCATTCCTTGTCTTTGTATTTATCCCCACCTTTGGCTTTCTTACCGTCAAATATCTTCTCCTCCCGGCCCAATCTTTTTATTGTGTCCCTGGCATATAAGAACCAAACCTTGGCAGCATCTACATCTGCCGACGACGGTTCATCCGTGCCTTCGAAAGCGGACCGCAATGTCCAGATTGCATACAACGAGAAATCCAAAACAGGTATTGATTGAGAAACGGCAGTAAGGCGGGCAGCGAAGGCGTTCAAGTTGCACCACTGCTCAGCTGAGAAGTCGTTCTTGCATCCATTCCCAGGAGCTAAAGAGACAGTTAGTCCCAAAACAACCTAAAACGGTAGCGATTCAACATACCTCTATTCCAAGCCTCCCTCATAGAAGGGCCAAAGAGTGGCAGATCCTTCCATACCTTGACTTTATTTCCCCAGACCGTACACTCACTCGCACCTTCTTGCTCTGCGAGATTCTCCAGCTGCACCGCTAGCACAATATCAACTAACGGCCCTTGTGACTGATGGCAGGTGTCCGCAGCAACATCAATGAGGCTATACCAGGCGCGGCTCAATGTCTCTTCAATGGCTGATTCCGAGGCTCCTGCCGCGAAAGCTTCCTTCGTAGGCTCAGTAAAATTGCTAGCTGCACTGCAGGACTCTCGTTTCGAGGCAAGAGATGCCGTCAACGACTCTTGCTCTGGTGAAGGCATTTCTTCGAGTATGAGTAGTGCATATGTCTTCGTGTAAAATCTGGGTGGGTTGAATAAGGGTCGTGAAAGTCTTCGCCAATGTGAATAATGCAGGTACGTCCACATGCACCCCACGTGTGCAAAGTTCCAAGTTTAAGGGTGATATTGGAATAGTCAGCAGACCGTAATAAATTGTGAGTTTGGATTCTCGCTTATAGGCAAGCCTGACCTTCTTAATATACTACACATCTGCATCCACATATTTTGACAAACGTTGCCGAGGAAGGCAGGTCATTTTAGTGGTTTCGGAGTGGAGGTGACTGCCGAGAACTTGGAATAACGGCTCTTTAGGAACATGCCATTAAGCTTAAATGAATTGATGTTGACTGTCTGGAAATTGTCATCGACGTGTGGGGGTATGAGTGATATGTCGTGAGCTTCCTTTTCGGTCTAGCGTCCGGAGACATCCTCAAATCCCGCTCTTCACTTGTCCGCCAACTTTCCTTGCACGTTCTACTTGCCAAGTTGCCAAGGACATGCTGTTTCAATACCTTCCAATTGTAGAAAAACTTGCCTTCAAAAAATGATCTCAAAGTGGGATTATTCCTTATCGTGGTGTCTGCTGGTCAAGGAATTTGGAGTCTTGAAGTACTAGGAATACTCGGGATGGGCTCAGCGTCCAACTGCTGAAGAACTCAAACTATATGTACCCCAGAACAGGTGCATGAATTGTCTTGGCTTTGCAGAATGTGGTATTAGGCTGTGAGATTCTGCACAGAATTGATTAGCCGCGGCATTTTTACTAGAATTAGGGAACTGTAGCTTCTCTTTAAGCACGTTAATAATTTCAAAGTTGAGTATATCAAGCCGCAGTTTCTCCCAATTCTGTAGCATCAGAACTTTCCAAACAACCTTAGTAGTTCCTCGGTCTCGCCATCCCCTTGCCTACTTGTTTCTTAAGCCCCCCAGTTAAATCTTCAAGCCATTCCTAAATATGTTCAACATGATCATCGGTCTCAAATCCCTCCTCCCTCTCTTCCTACTCCTCTCCACCTCCACTTCTCTACCTACTCTCGAAGAGCGTGGATCTACCACCTGCGGCTCAACCTATTATACCGCAAGTAAGGTCAGTGCCGCTTCCTCGAAGGGGTACGCAGACTACGAATCTGGCTCGGAACCCGGTGGCTATCCACACACATACCACAATTACGAGGGCTTCGATTTCCCAGTTGATGGGCCATACCAAGAATTCCCTCTCTTGTCCAGTGGAAGCGTATACACTGGTGGTACGTAACCTTCATGTTCCCCGAAAATCCCGTATTCCTTTTCTTTCTTTATTCGGCACATTCTGATCTTCTCTATAGGAAGTCCTGGAGCTGATCGTGTTATCTTTACAACGTCTGGCGAGCTCGCGGGTGAGATCACGCACACCGGTGCTAGTGGGGACGATTTTGTTGGATGTTCAGGAACAAGTTAAATGATGTTAGATGAGAAGTCATTTAGTCAATTACTATGTTTGGGGTTAATTTCATGTGTGCTATTCTTTCGCAAACCCAGCCTACTATTTATAAACAACCCCCCCTATATCCAACTCCAATCAGACTATAGAATTTTCCTGCAGCAAATGATGTCTCCTCAAGCTTCTCATTACCATCGTCTCAGCGTCTTCCACATCCAACCCCACCCTCCAAATAGCGCAGTCGCGCCTGTGCATACGATCACCGGACCATACTGCGTACTATAACCCAAGTGTCCCATCCCCTCCAATGCACTCCAAGCGCTCTTTAACAGCGCCCCACTGGCCGGTCCCCCAGCCAAAAAGCCGACTCCCCTCCCCCCAAGCAACATGCCCATCAACAACCCCGTATCAACCCCCTCATCCTCCCTCTTTATCTCACGCAGAACCCCCGGGTACGTACTACTAAACCCGCCCGCAAAGAACCCATACACCACCGCGAACATCACGAGCAAGGCAATATGCCTCGCCATTCCCCAAAGCGCAAACACCGCTACCGTGGAGCCGAGTGACGAGATAAGTATCACAGTAGTAGGTTTCAAACGGTCGCTAAGCATACCCAGCAGCAAGCCCCCTGGCGCTGAAGACAACGAAAATACAGCCGTAATAACAGCTCCAGTGATAGCAGGTAATCCCATTGTATGCGCATAACTCGCCAAATAAGTATTCGGCAAGATGTACCCGAAACTCTGCACCACATTCCCCGCCTGCAACATCCAGAACATCTCGCTCTTTAAAAACTTCCAACTAATTACCTTCCTGGCCACCGCCCCGGACACTGGGATTCTGGGTTTCAAGAAAAAGAGTAGTGGGGAGGTGATGATGACGAGCGCGGTTGCCCAGGCTTGAAGCGTGGTCTTGGCGCCGTATTTGCTGAGGAGCGCGGACATGAGGAATGGAAATACGACGCCTGCAGTGGCTTTCCCTGCCCAAATGGTGCCGTATGCCATTCCTTTGCGGGAGATGAACCATTCGTCCAGGTAGAGTGTTGTGGGGGAGAAGAGCAGGCCGGAGCCGATGGCGCACAAGACGCCTTGGCTTGCTATTAATTGCCAAACTTCCTTAGCGTAGGAAGATAATATCAGACTCGCGACTGTAATGAATAAACCGGCGGGTCCACAGTATGGACGTAGGCGGGGATAGCGGGTGAGCAAGGTGAAAGTCAGAGGCATCATGAAGTACATGAGGCCGTTCAACGTTGAGCCGACAGTGGCAATGGCGCCAGGTGAGCCGACGACGTTGTGGTGAGTGGTGTAAAATTCTTGGAATACACCGAATGAGAGGGAGTAACCTAGATGAGATAATTTGGATGAAGGGGTTAGTTGTGTAGTAATTGCGTACCCCAGACGGGTGCTTGTATTATCGTGCATCCTGCTAACACGAGATATGCTTCTCGACCATGATCTGTAGGAGGAAGTGAGCGCATCTCGATTTCGAGAGCTGTCTCATTTTGCGTTGATGAGACTTCGACTTGATCAATAGGTGAGTTACCGATAGATGCTCGGCTGCTGAAAGCATGAAGCTCGTGGGTGGTGGTTGAGGTCATTTTGAGTTGTTCTCTCAATAGTGGGATTGATTCTTTAAGCAATGTGGTTGAAGAAGTAAGTACAAGATGGGGAGTCGGTCTTATACGGAGTATAGAATAGAGTCACATTTTCGTGGATCCTGCTTATGACAAGGTATATTGCAGATCTTCCCCGTATCTAGGGTTTATAGAAATGTAGCCAATTATGTCTTGTACGAGGCCGGTATCGCCGCAGCCTTACTGCCTGACGAGAAGTATGGAGTTGCCAAAATAGGTAAAGCGTCCCTTCGAAAGTATCAATGGGAAGTTCATAGACGAGTTTCCATAAGGTTTTATATAATTATCTTCTAGTGTGAATGGCTATGTTACAACCCGTTTGGAACAATATATAAAGTAGTGTAATACTCCGCGGTTCCTATAGTAACAAAATCCTAAGCGAGCCCCTGAGACGCCCCACCCCTTGATCGAGATTCCGCGGCTGGCCCAGTAGGTAAGGTGTTTGTATTAGTTATCTGTGACAGAAGAAGTAGGAGCAAAGGCCAAATTTGTTCATATTGTCCCGAATCTAGTTCTCTGAATGCACACAAATTCATAAATGTGCTATCCATCTTTATGTCCTACCCGCATTCTGATCAGACATAGTCTAGTCTCCTGACCCAGCTCTTAAAATTGAGGCTTCAATAAAACCTGGCAAGCAAGAGCACCCGACCTCTAGAGCTCTTAATTTAAAAGTCTTCCATTTGTCTTCCTCGAAATATTAACCTCACACGCACGCTACTTGCATGAGCAGGAATTTCATGAAGATTATCTTCCCCAGAAGGCCGTCATATATAATAACTGTCCTCCACCTCCCCAATGCATGTCGCTTCCTTGCAGGATCCGCGTATTCCTAACAGCTATAACACTTTCCCTATCCGTCGCATGTACAGGAAAATTATAGAGATGCAGCAGAGCATAAGGCATACAATTATCGCCCCGCTTCCAATGTAGTGCTCCGATTTTCATCTGTGAAAACAGGTTACCTGCTAATGACAGCTATTGATATGACATCTGATGCTGCAAGAAGTTTAAAAGTGGTGTTTGAGATGTTGTAGCGCCTGCGCCGATAGTATGAGAAGGAATCGACTGATTCTGGGGTGCATCCTGGGGCATGGTCAAAAAAACAATGTGGACCGGTACGTGAGATGGCTGTCGGTTTAGATTTCTCTTCTATGTAGTTGTAGCCCCGAGCAAGACAGTCAGCTGCACCAAATTCAGAAAGTGCATGTGCGGGGTCTTATGATGGACAACAGCCAATCCATATACTCAAGGAGTTGTGCATGCTGGTAACGGCAGTGGGTTCCAGTCATTGGCAAACTGGAAGCTCTATGCTAACTATGATATTTGGCGGTATATATATTCTGTTTACGTTGAAGATGCAGCGGTAGCTGGCTGAACGCATGCGAGGTTGAACCGAAACGATTCAAATGAGTGACGCTATTCAAACATGGAATATACAGCAGTCGCGCTGAATGGAAGGGATGAGATGGAGATAGCTCCTAAGCTTTGATTTTGATAGAAACAAGAGTACTGAGTCGATGCTGGTCAAGCTGGGGTTATCAAAGGCAATGAAAGGACATATTGGAAGTTTTTTCTCGATTGCGATGCCAAAAGATCAATTGCATCTAATCCCTCCTTGTTGGGGATTACGCTCCCATCTAAAGGATGTAGTTTGACGTTGGCCGCATCGAGATATTGCAATTGACATTATACAATTGGCGGCTTAGCACATCTTGCTATTGTGTGTATTGAAATGGACGGTACAAAATTGGTTAAATGAAAAGCATTGTTCGGACTGCATAGGACGAGACAACTTCAAAATGTCCTTAGGAGTAATTAGAAGGCTATAGATGCGCTTGCATCGCAAATTAGTTCATAATTCCTGCGTTGTCTCCTTTCGTTGAAAATAAATGAAGTGAAGCATTCTGGGTGGAAAGCGGTGGATCGTTCAACCTTCAAATGCCGCCAAAGAATTTCGCGAGGCTTCAAGTCGAGAACGCGACTGCGGGACCTCATCCACCTCATCCACATCACATCGCAATCCCTCCCTCTACACAACACTCGTTACAACCACGAACAATGGCAGACACAATGGATGTAGACGAGGCGACCTCGCCCGACGCAACAGCCGCCCCAAATGCCAGCATGGGCACGCACAGCGGCGCGACAGCCGTGCGCTCCATCGAAGGCTGGATCATCATAGTCACCAACATCCATGAAGAGGCCGGCGAGGAGGACCTCACTGACCTGTTCGCCGAGTACGGGGAGATCAAGAACATGCATCTGAATCTAGATCGTCGGACTGGTTATGTCAAGGTAGGTTCCTGAGCTTTACCCCTCCTCTCCTCTCCTCTCCTCTGCCTTGCGCGCAATAGGCAAAAAGAGAACAAAACAGCACAGAATAGAATAGGATGCTAATGAACGGCGAATTGGAATTGAAATAGGGCTACGCACTCATCGAATACCCCACGCTCGACGAAGCGCGCGCCGCTATAGACGGAGCTCATGCTTCGAAGCTCTTGGACCAGACGCTCGAGGTCGACTTCGCATTCGTGCGTCCGCCGCCAGGGAAGGGACGGGGTGGAGGAGGGGGCCGACCGCCTGCGAAGGGGAGAGCGAGGACGAGGAGTCGCAGCCCGGCGGCGAGGGAGGAGATGGCTGAGTGATTGGGAATGAATAAACGTGGGCACTGCTTTACTTTGCTGTGTTGTGTTGTGTATTTGAATGCTTTACGAGCACGACCTAAATGGAGGAAACAAAAAGCTGGCCGATGTGTCAGGGGACATGTCGGCGCATGAGATTTTACTGCCTTGGTATGTGGTCTTGGGAGGGAGATCAGGGTATTGCTAACGTTCTTGCAGAGCTACGATATTAGAATGAGACTCCATTCGCAAGTACCAATTAAAGCCGTGTGATGGACTGTGTAAGGTACAGGTGCAGAATTTGTGTTTCCGAAGTCAGTAATCAACATCGCCTTTGCTTCAGTATCTTCTCCAAGAAGACCCCTGGTTAATTCCAGAGGTCTGGGAAACATCGTTAAGATTTGGTTGGGCCCTCTTAATTCGGCACAAAAAGTATATTGTTAGCTGCTAATTATACAAAGCGAATTTCTACACCGTAATTATATACTCCATCTGATGACTTCATTTAACATGTCCTAAACGGCACCCAATACCCTATAGGAGTCCGGATTCATATTATATTTCAAGCCACTCGGCAGGAGCTCTATCCCCCGGTTTATACTTGCAATGCAATTTTTTAAACTCCTCAAGAGCTTCATCATCAGCCCTCAAAATCTTATGTCCCAGAAGTTCAGACACGCCATCGAGTCCAGCTACAGAATAAGCCTGGCCAATCTCCCGTGCATGATCCTCTGCTTGGTCTCCTGTGTACTCTTCCCGCAATTTAGCCCACGACCACACATCAACATCTTTCCGGTAATAAATCTTCTTGATACCACGTTCCCAGCGTTCAGGAAAGAACGCCGATCTCACCAGAGCTCCGTCTTTATAACACGTCACCCCATCAAACACCAAACTCCCCCCAAAAGCCTCCGCCCAATCCGCAAGCACTTGATCCGGATTACCATTCCCTCTGTTAAAACCTCTTCCCGGAACCCCGTTATAGAAGTCCTCCTCAACCCCACTATCAAAAACAATCGCTCTTTCCAAATGACCCAAGTGAACCGACGCCCATTTCAACGCCAGCAGATCCCCAATATACTTTTCACCCCCCTCCCTCTCCATTATACAAAACCTAAACATATCATGCACAGAAGGTCCATTCTCACTTGAAAACAGTTCCACAGGCCAAGCCTCCATCGTAAGGCTCTTCAAACACCCCAATACCGTTCGAGATGCAAAAGCTCGCGCTGCAACTTCCAACTCCCATCCGCCAGAACCCGCCACTCCACCCCTCCAAACACCATGCCCAACCTCAGCCTCTGCACATTCGCCGCGACCGTAAGCGGAATCCGCGAAATGTTGAAGTTGTGAGAGACGCTGAAGATGTTGTTCCGCCACAGCGCTGTAAGGGGCGACGCTTCATGGTAGATTTGCTTGCTGGTACGGAGGAATGCGAGGGAGATCCCGGGGCTGAGCTTGCAGCGCAGCGCTTCGAGGGGTGCGCGGGTGTAGAGCGGGGAGGGGGGAGGCCCATTCTGCCGCGGATATAGCAGGGACGGTGTCGGTTATTTCGGTTGGTGGGAGAGAGATGGCTGTTGGGGTGAGGGTAATTATGCCGGTGGGGGAGGTGAGGAGATAAGAGTATATCTTTTGGCGAAGTTCTAGGGGGAGGGTAGAAAGGAACGACATTTGATTGTTGGTAACCTTTGGAGGGGTCGCGGTTTATGCAGGTAGAGGATCAAACGTCACGCACGTGGTAAAGAGGGGTCTTTGAGATTATGGCATTCATAGCTACTAGACTTCTTATCGACTATATAAATACTAAGACTTTTCTGTCACTATTAAAAATCTTATATAAAATGAAATTGAAGTCGAAGTTGAAATTACAATCGATGTTACAGTTGAACAAAGCCTGATATGACAAAGGCAGATAGGACTTAGTCAGTAACGCTAGTTATATCTCGGAAACGTGTTCATTTGTATTTGATATCCGTATAATTTTAAATAAACACGATTACTGTTCAATAACATATTCGAAATTGAAAATTTTCGGTGACTTGGCCGAGCGGTTATGGCGCTAGTTTCAGGGGAAACCACTATACTAGTTCGAAAGAGCGTGGGTTCGAATCCCACAGTCATCAAATTACCTTTTTACATTTTTTTGACTTTTCTTTTTGCCTCTTTTTCCATTTTTGGCAGTTTTGATATTGCAAACGCAGAAGATAAGCGAGGGCGCTAGCGGGAACAGATAGTGTGGTACAAGTATTTAGTGTTTTCCCTTTGCTCTACACTACTTTTATAGTGCCTTATTTGGAAAATAGGCTTCCTTACCTACGTTTTTGGAGTTTCGACTCTTTTGAGGCACAAGCACACTACACTACCTGGTAATGGAAGCGAGAGCCAGGTCAGGGGCAACGTCGGCGACGCTAGAGACTAACCCCGCAATCCAAAATACGCTAAACTGGAATAAACAAAGTGGTGTATCAGGTACTCGAGTAGGAGCAGCAGTACGAGTAGAGGACGACAGAGCCGACTCTCACCACTCACAGCTTCATGTCCTTGTGTGCTCCCACCGGCCCAATTGGTATTCTTGTCACTCATAGATGTATTCGTTAATCCCTCCTTGATTGTCCGCTTCCTACCTTACTCCAATTGCTTCTTTTGCATCTTAGACGTTGCCACTTTGCTATCTCTCACCATGCGCACCGATAGAATATATCACCTTCCTCTTCTTCTTCTGTGTACATTACCGCCGGCAATTGCAGTACCTGAGCAGCATGTTCTCCAAGCCTCGGATCCGTTGCCTCTCGAACATGGTCAGAACCCTCTCCCCGACGAGCGGGACGTCTCGGGCTCGCGGGGCACTCTCCCCGCATTCCTCGATGCGCTGGACGTATTACAAGCCGAGTACTTTCAAGAATGGCAAGGCTTTTGGCCCGATGGAATCGATTGGACCTCTGCGGTAATAGGGACATATGTATCTGCCTCCCTGAATACCATTTCGACGTCCTTCTCCTCGCTCTCATCCTCCCCGAAATTCAACGAGAATCTGATCAACAGATACTTCTCCCAATTGGTCGCCTATTATTTTGGCCAAGATGCCTTCGCGCTGCGACAAGAAGCATACGATGATATTCTCTGGGTTGTGTTGGGCTGGCTGGAAACCATAAAGTTCATCAACAAGCATTCAGAGATGCATTACACAAATGGTTATTGGTATGGCAGACAGTGGATCCCAGCATTCGCCCATCGAGCGCGCGTATTCTGGGATTTGGCATCGCAAGGCTGGAACACATCTCTCTGCGGCGGAGGCATGATTTGGTCACCATGGCTCGTACCCTATAAGAACGCCATCACCAACGAATTATTCATATCAGCTTCCATATCCATGTATCTCTACTTCCCCGGCGATGACAATCCCTCTCCATTCATGTCTTACCAATATCTCTCCGACAACAAGACAACCGCAGACTGGCCCGGCAGACCAAGGGACCCAAAATACCTTGCCGCGGCAATCGAAGCATACAAATGGCTAAACACGAGCAACATGACCGATTCATCGGGCCTCTATGTTGACGGTTACCACATTTCGGGCTGGGCTCGAAACAACTCAAACAATACCCGCTGCGATGAGCGCAACGAGATGGTATTCACATACAACCAAGGTGTGCTCTTGTCCGGCCAACGAGGTCTCTACGAAGCCACAGGCGCAAGGTCCTACCTCCAAGATGGTCATGCACTCACTCAAAGCACTATAGCGGCAACCGGTTGGGATCTGGAGGCCCAATCTCATTCAAATAACACATTAGGTAAATGGAGCGGACTGGGCAGGGTAGGAATCATGGAGGATACTTGTGATGCGTCAGGGACGTGCTCACAGGACGGGCAAACGTTCAAGGGAATATTCTTCCACCACCTTACACTGTTCTGTGCGCGGTTGCCAGATCACCTTGTCCTTCCCGACGATCAGGCGGCTATGCACACTCAAGGGGCACTAGCCGAAATCAAGAAATGGCATGATGCTCAATGTGCTACATATGGGCCTTGGATCCAACATAACGCCAACGCAGCGCTTACGACCCGTAACCGCGAAGGGAAGTTTGGGATGTGGTGGGGTGAGAAGGAACATGCGCCCGATGACGATACTGTTATCGAAATACCAGTTGGCGCAGTGGATTATAGGAATCTGGATATGCCAGAACCATGGAAAAAAAACACTAGTGTCAAAACTCACGAGCATGAACACACTAGGAAAGACAGTGATGTTGGAATCAACGGAGACAGAAACGACCGCAATAGAGGCCGCACAGTCGAAACGCAAGGAGGTGGGATTGCCGTTCTCAGAGCAATGTGGGAGATTGTAGATTCTAGACACGCATAAGTGATGAGGCTATGAATATGCATATGGGTTTGTTTTTGTATTGCACATGAAGTAACGGGCATAGGCGGCGTTTCTCAGACGAATGAATGAATGAATAGTTTTGTAGATATCAGATGGTATATACCGTATATGACGGCAATTGAGAGTCAACATTTGTATGATGCTAAGTTGATAGTTCAGCGCAGACTTATTGTTGCGTGCATTATTGTGGGTTTAGATACCGAGTGTTGTGAATGTGAGGCTTTTTTTCTAGTGACATCTTTATTTCTTAGGGTTCTTGTTCATTTAAGTCAGCTTGAGTCGACCCAAAGTATGGTTGAGTTTTCTAGACACGCTGATCTACTGGCATTAAGCTGAAGTTTTAGACCTGAAAATGTATTCACACAAAATAGAGCCCTTTCTAACAGTCTGATTGGTCAAAAAGTACGAGCCAAAACGGGACACCGACCAAGTGGAACCTGAAGCCAAGTAGATTATGCAAAGTGCGAGTTTGTATTTAGCTCTGACTTCAAGTTTTGCTGTCACTAATCCTTAAGACATACCTAGTGATCTAATTAATGTCCATTCTTTCCATAGCTCCTGTTACTAGAAAGTACCATAGATCTTCAAGTATTATCCACAAATCATTATCAACCTCTTTATTTTCCTAATGTGATATAACTTTTCTGTAAATTGCCCATTTCCTTTTGAGATTGAATTAAGCTTGACTTAGGTTATATTAAGCGCTAGGTGACGCTCCTAGTAGCTTATCTTTCATATAGGGTATGCAGTCAACTGCTAGCCTGGCATCCTGTTATTTATAGTAGGAGGCATTGCATATTTTCTTCCAGTCTCTTCTTCTTAACAAACTGTTCGCGACGTGCTAAATTCAACAGGTACTACTTTGCAAAATTTCTCAAAGTCCTGGCAAAAGGGAAGCAATCCAAAAGCACCATAATGGTCACCACCTCTCTATTTCCCATGAGTGTGATACTACTTATCATGCTAGCCAAAGAGGCGATGACACAAGTGTACCCAGGTACGGTCGAGTTCGACGTCGTCTTCCCTCGCAATGATACCTACGCCCCGGTAGATCTTATGCCTATCATATTCGCAATCCAAAATCCCAAGGCTGTGGAACCACTTATGCCTTCGATCCAATGGAATATTGGGAGGGTGGGAGTCTCCGAAGACTGGCTTGATACCGGCCTGGTCGACGACCTCATCTGGGCTAATTTTTCGACCAACCCCTACTTTATTGTCCTGAGCACCGACAAATTGAACTTTAAGGAAGGCTACTTCGCGTTCCACTGGACATTCTTTTCTCACAACTGTTCTATAGATAGTTTCGGGGATTTCGAGCAGCGGGGCATAAGCGGCGGCTAGAATACCACTTTTTTCACCCTCAAGAATGGTGCCCAGCAGCCCAACATTGTCACAGACGCGGATAGGTGCTCTTCGCAGAGTCTCACCTACAACGTGACAGGAACAATGCCGCTGGCTTTCCACGACACCTACGGTAACCGCAATACTTGTGCAGTGATCTCGGAACAGCCGCCACCAGCAAGTCCTTGCGCTATCAATATCAACGAGACCCTCGCATCGAGCATATCGTCAACAATCACGGCTTCTGCATGTTCTACATTTCCTTCGGCTGCCACTGGTGGTTGTCCTGCTCCTGCGGCTTGGACAACAACCAAAGCTAGTCTGGCTAGCAAGCTGCATTTTGGAGGGATCAGCTTCACTGGGGTATTCTTCGGCTTGGGGTTGGGCTTTCTTTTCTGGGTTTTGCAATATCAATGACTGGTGTTGAGGAGGTGTTGGGGGGGGGGGGTTCAGTTTGGTAGTTGCTAGCGAAGGATATTGTTGGGATATATCGAATTTTGTGGCTTCGAAATCAATGAATTCTTTTGGAGCACGTATATATTGTTCCTCTGTATAACACTATGTGGGTGCAAGTCTTAAAATGTAAAGTGATGTTTATTACTGGTAAATCATGATTCCAGGACCTGAAGGAGTCACGCCGCGACACTTGATCTTTCCATTTGTGAGAATACGAGTGTCACCATCGTGCCACGATCAATGAAATTCTCCTTGTGAGCAAGGTGTTGAGGTTGCGAAGTTATATGATATTTAAAATAAAGACTAGATCTGAGGTGCGAATGCCTTTCACCGGACAACGCTATACCCGAGTCAGCAACTCAGAGCCACCTAAACCAAGTGAATCGTTTGCCGCACGCCCTTTCCAGGCAAAGAGCTATGCCAAGAGGTTTTATTGCGGTCGAGGTTTCATAAAATCAACCTCTGACAAAATCAGAGAAATGATCAACAATTGGTAATGGACACTCCAGCGCAGTCTAATATGTCCTTAAATGTGTCGCCAACGCGTCGCCGGTGGTTAGCCAAACAGCTGTAGTATACAGTTGCAAGTGTATAGTTGGACAGAAGTAAGAGTTACTTACTCAAACTTCTTGGTTAACTCATCACTTGATCTCTCTTTCAAAAACAAATCTGGGTCCATGTAGAAAATTATGAAGATTATTGAGAGGAGGGTTCCGCTCTTTCGGGACCTGCGCAAATACATAGACGCCTCCACATATCTTACAAACGGCAACAAGCGGCATCACACTGTATTCTCCGGTAAAAAAAGATCTCAAGCAATCCGGACCCAATCACCGCGGGAATGGGATTCTCCTTCCAAATGCCATCGCAACCCATCCTCCAATCAAACACAGTCCGCCCAGTGGTGTAGCAGGTCCCAAGACCTTGAATCGCTGCGGATCTAATACAAGTAGGTAAATGCTGCCACTGAACATCGTCATACCCGCTACCAATAAACCGGCCGCGAGAGTATTCTTCGGAGCGACCGCAGTTGTCAGGAGGAGAACGCCGGAGTGGATGAGCTAGAAATTAGGACTATTAGCACATTATGTACGGCATATACAAAATGAATCAAGAGAGGAGGGAGTACTTGGTAATGAGCTGCTGTGCTCCAGCTGGCGATTTTGGACGGATCGGTGATATGTTTCTTCAGGCCATGAGCACCGAAGGCTCCAAAAGTTACGGAGGTAGCACCGTATATGCAGCCGATTGTCCAATATGGGAGTGGCATGGTGGTTGATGTGGTACAGAGTAGATAGTAAAGTGAGGCGAGGTTGTCAAAATATCCGATGCTGACTCAGCAGTCCAACCTCAACCTTTCTTCTCCACTTACCTTACTTTAACTTACCACAATATGTTTAATATAATACGTTGTATTCCTTTTAAGTGTTTAGCCAAAGATTGTGAGCTATATATCCAACTATAATTCAATGAACAATAGTTTTACTGAATTTATAGGTTACTCCCCACATCTTCACGTCAAGGATGTTACTAAATTACTACTCCGTACATGTTCAAGTATACCTTTCTCCCAAGACATGAGATTACAGATAAAGATTAATCTTGGCCTTTCTTCACTAGCACAACCTTATTCTGAAACTAACAAGCACCGGGAATACTATCAATAGCCTTCCTAAAGAAATACGGCTCCGGCGCAACAACAGTTATAAGAGCCGGCCTCTAGCAAGAAACCCGCATAGACAGACCTGCTGACTTGATCATGGGCCGCCTTAAAATGGCCTTGGTAAGCCCATTTCCTTTAATCATCTAAAAGGCTCGGGTCAATTTTAGCGGACAATTTCGACAATGTGACAAGAGCAAGTTAACAAAATGATCTAGTGCAAGGATATCAATAAAAGATATTAGGCACTTCACTACATACAGAAAACAAGAGAGATTTTCTTTAGCAATTGTGTTAGAAGAGCTTACACGTTGTTCTGTGGTAATAAATTACGAGTAGTTGGGGATCCTCCAGGTTAGGCTGTGATCCGCTGTGCCGTAGGCTACCCGTTGCCTCAGTCAGCCCCTGCGGGTGCATAATGCACTAACTTTGGTCTCGCTTCACCACCTCCTCTTCATAAGCGAATGTATCACTACCACGACGTCCAGAGGCCACTTGAGCCTCAATATCTACTAACTATTTCCACTATATAAGGCTCCTATACTCCGTCCAGACCTGCCGCCTCAATGTCAAAACCACAGCCAAAGAAACCCCTGCCAAGTGCGAGTCGGCGGAGGGATAAACCTCAACTGTCGTGTAACCTCTGCAGGAAAAGGAAGTAAGCTTTATACTTCCCGTTCCATGGATTATTAGCTAAAGTTCCTGGCCAGACTCAAATGTGACCGAGGTCAGCCTTGTGGAACTTGCGATCGTCATGGGCTCTCACTGTCTTGCACTTAGTAATTAGCCCTTGTCTTCGTTTCTCTAATCTGATAAACTCTCACCTACCGCTCTTTACAGAAACAAAAGCTGATCATTTAAAGTGCAATCACCAATACAAACGGCTCCACAAGTCAAGAGAATGGGCAAGTGCCGGTCGATAGTGTTTCAAGTGCTCCTACAAATATCCCAGACCGGATCGGACAACTAGAGCAGCTTGTCACCTCGATGATGAGTACTCACAATACTTCCCAGTTAACCAACATTAATCCTATGGAGAGCCAAGGTTCTATTCATATGGAATCTTCTTCACTTTATGGGGCTCAAGACTTTACCGGAAACCCCCTCCGGCTTAACGCACCTCAATTCTCAGATAAATTTGGTCGTATTGACTTTCAGAATACTGAGACATCCTATGTTGATAACACGCATTGGATTTCAATTCTAGATGGGGTATAGACAGTTCTTCTTCTTCGTCTTCTGATCTATATTTTAACAACTTGACTAATAAGACCTTTATACAATATAGATTGCCGAGCTTAAAGACTGTTTTATGGAGGACGGCAATCAGCAAGAAAGCATTGTCTCCCCAGCGGCAAGGTCGACTTCTGATGAGCCAGACATTCTATTTGGCCAATACAAGTGCATCACCAAACAGCAAATACTTTCCGCTCTCCCACCTAGAGCGATCGTTGATCGACTAGTAGCGGAATACTTTCTCAATAAAGGGATTGCCCCTGGTATGTTACCTTAACCGTCCAAATACACCAAAAGCTGAGTTTTAAAGTGGTCATTCATAGCCCGACATTCCTGAAAGAGGTAAGCTTTGGTCTCTTTTGTTCTGTAGGCCCTTGACTGTTACTTGACTGACCGGCACTAGTATGGGCGATTCTGGACACAACAACACGAGACATCCATTATGTGGGTTGGGGAGCTGTTTGGAATCATGTGCTTAGGAGCATCTTACTTACAGGAACCTCTTCCCTTGATTTCAGACCCGGGGAGTCTCATCCCGACTTTCCGCGAAAGGATTATACAGTGTCTTGTTCTTGGCAAGTACACAAAATGTGCGCCACGCACCATCGAAACACTTCTCCTATACTTACATCTCGAGTACAATCAACACGAGGATAACCAGATGGAAATTTGGGTTCTTCTGGGAGTGATTGTGAGGTTAGCATTGCGTATGGGGTATCATCGGGATGCATCTCACTTCCCTCATATATCCACTTTTCAGGGAGAGATGAGAAGGCGTGCCTGGGCTCTTATCATCAGCTTCGATGCACTTGCGTCTTCTCAGGTTGGCTTGCCCAGGATGATCAGAGATTCGCATTCGGATACAGCGGCACCGCGCAATCTACTTGACGAGGACCTATACGAGGAGATGTCAACTTTGCCTCCATCGAGACCAGATACGGAGCAGACTCTAGTTCAATTCATTGTTGCAAAGAACACTATTATCAATATACACAGCAAGATCTCCGATGAAGTTACTGCGACAGAACCCATTATGTACACTGAGATCATGCGTCTCGACGAAATCCTCAGCAGTACATACTCATCAATTCCTCAAAGTCTCCAGATGCGTCCAGTCAACGAGTCGTCTGTCAATACACCAGATTTAATAATACACCGGGTATCCCTAGCGCTTTTATACCATAAATCGAAATGCATATTGCACTACAGACACATGTCTCCTGCTAAGACAGACAGTCAATATCTCTACTCCCGCCTAGCAGGCATCGAAGCCGCCCTCGAAATTCTAGAATACCAAACAATCCTGGATGAAGAAACCCAAGCAGGCAGAAAACTCTACCAAGATCGGTGGAAGATCTCCCCGCTCATAAAAAGCACCTTCTTCCTCGCAACTTCCATTCTTTGCCGCGAAGTTGCAACCGCAGAACCACCACCGACAGACTCTCAAATTACAGCCAGTGATACAGGCCTACGGAACCGGATCTTACAGGCTCTGAACAAGTCGTATTTCGTTTGGATAAAATCCAGCGCATCATCTCGAGAAGCTCAGAAAGCGGCCGAGGTGCTGAGAACTGTGCTTGGAAGAGGTCAGGATGCGGAACTTGACAATGATCAAGTAATGGAAACGGAAGGATCAGATGCGGCTGCCATCACGGATGCTGGCATTGGAACAAATGGTACTGTTGAATATAATATATCTCTACCCGAGGAAATCTACTCAATTGCTAATCAAGATATATATCCAGATACAAGCCTTTGGCTCAAAGGTGCCCCGACCGTGGAGCAAATCAGATCCAATATTCCTACTGATAAGACGCTGCATCCGACAAATATCCATCAACTTCTTTGTGCTGATATTAATTATTCGGGCATATCCGCTGAACCTTTAGATATGGTAAGTTGACCTGGAGTGAGAGTTGAAATAGTCATGGTTGATCAGGTACGGGTAGATGCAAACTTTCGATGAGATATTTGGTGGGTTGTTAAGCCCGTCTGGATCTTTTGGGTTTTCTTTGAGTTGAAAATGATAATATAGTAATACATTGCAGTGTCTGAGATACCTGCACTTAGGTATCCTCTGTTTAAATAGAGGTAACGAAGAGGTTGTCGAGCTGTTAGCAAAAGATAAATAGTTAAAAGTCATCCATAGCAATAAGTGCCACTTTTGCTTGAAAGTCTTAGCTCCATCAAAAGGTCGTGACCCTTCATCCCTTCAAAATCGAGAGGCGACAGCTCCTAGGGTCTCAAAGAGTGGACCTCATACTCCTCCTTTCTTGACGCATCTGCAAACCGCCAGTCAGCGATTCAATCGTGTATTCATCTCTGCAACCGCCGCCTCCTCCTACTAATCCCGTCAGCTCTATGGTACCTGGCTAAACATACAAGTAGGTGGTGAATGAAAGCGCGCACTAAATGGAAAGGGCCGACCCGACCCATCCCTTTCGCTTGCTTATTATAAATAACTCCAGCTTCGTTCTTGACCTGTCAACTTTTAATATCAACCAACCCCAACAGTTAGACAATGACGACTCCTGCATCTACAAAAGAAGATACACCACAGAATGTGGTAATACACGCCTTCTCATCGCCTGGACAAGCTCCTGACGTTCGTCTGAATGCACTTGGCATTAACGAGTTCCACGTCCATTCATTCCTTCTTAAACACCATTCTGCCTTCTTTCGGAAATTTCTGGATTCCCCCGACAAGCAACAAGGCGATAACCCGAGAAATGCTGAAGAACTTACCGCGGTCAAAATGCGAGCAGGAAAGGTCACCAAGTTCCGGTACGAATGGGTTACTCAATTTGATGAAGTTGGAAGGGGTTGGCATTTAGTGGCGGCTTCCAATATGCAGGTAAGTCTTACAACTATTCACAATTTGTGACATTTTATCATGAATTCAACGACAGTCCTTTGGAGCTCCCCTATCTTTTAATAGAAGAGTCATACTGATATATAACTATTTATAGAGTGACAATCCCAGTCCATATACCTACACACAACGTCGATTCCAGGCAGAACTATTTCGGGAACTTCTTTGTGCTATCTACAACCGGCCTTACGAAATATATGCCCCCAGGCAGCTGATATCTTTGGTGGAAATGGCGGATTACTACTGCATGCTTCCCACTCTATCTTCCACCTTGGATGGTGTTCTTCACAAGAGTAAGAGGTATATTGCACCTCTATTGGACGTAGAAGCCTTACAACTACTACCAGTTGCAGCAAAGGTGAGGAATGAACTTCTGTTTCGGGAATGCCTCCTCTTCGTCCTCGGCCCTTATGACGAACCCCGATTCACTCAACTCGATGATCCTAAATTAGAGGATGTTGCCGAACTTGCCTTCACAAAGCTTTTCGCTAGGATCGGCCAGTCTCGAAAAAAGTTGTGGGATCTGGCAATCTTTGATGATACGATAATAGACCAGGTGGCATCAAATGATAAAGTACAGGCCTTAAGCTCTTGTGCGAAGATGGCACTTAGTCCAGAGGGAAGAGGTGTTCAATTCCCAGCTTACTATCGAGCATTGTTGGATGTCCAGCTCTCCGATACTTATCCATTCAGGGAAAGTCTTGCTAGTTTAACGCGTTGCGATCTGGAGTTGGTAGGAAATATTCAGGCAGGGGTGGGTGATTACAGTAGACATTTCTTCTGTGGCTTTCTCCTGGAAAGCGATCTTCCATGGGACCCAACGGAGACTGATTGGTGAACTAATCTATGGGTGGAAATAGGAGAGTTGTACGGCTGATTATTATTGAGGCTTAAGTGAGAAAGGAGATATAGTTACTTGCTACACAAACAGCCCAATTATCTCCCTACTCATTTGCCACATATGCGTTTCTCTAAGCACTAGTGATTTTTCTACTTGAATTGAGAAATTACATCCTTCAAAGATATGATCGGAATCTGTCTACTAGCTAAAGGATCGCATGTGATTTCTAACGAGATTGGGCTTGAAGCTAAAGGACCAGAATTTGATTCATGTTAAAACACTTGACGGCCTACTTAGATATACACTATTATATACTATAGTGTTTAACCTTTCTAGATCCTGCTCTAACATAAGAGAAGAGTTTTGTGGCAAATCGCGTTATGGAGTTGAAGGTCTAGCGAGTTTTAAGTAGGTATGGCAGGAGCGGTCTATATACTCAAAAGAAGCCTAAGGCCTAAGGCCCTATATGTTTTGCAGTACTTACCTACTGTTTGTAGGTGAATGATACTTAGGTACTTTCCAGACGTTGGGATGTTTTAGAGAGGCTTTGCTAGCGCTGTGCTCAGCTTCTTTCTACGCATCGACCCACTCTTTCTAAGAGAGCAAAATGTCTCTAATTACAAAACTTCATCCAATATTCTCTACCATGTTCCTCTCAGTTCCTTCAAGTTTCAACCCCGATGTCCGGGTTCAGGTTTTTCGCGACTGGGAATTCCATGTCCACTCTGTGCTCTTGAAATTGCACTCGACCTATTTCCGCGAATTCCGCGACTCGGCCGACAAATTGCATTGAACGTGTTTTCATTTCAAGGTTAGAATGCAGGAAGAGGGTATTCTCGCATTGATCTGTTTCAATGTTGCTTTCAGAATCGTCATCGTCGAACACTGTAGAACGTGCTATTAGACGCTGCAAGCCGAGGAGTCCTTTGACATGGCATCATCTGCTGCGGGATGTCGGCAGCCGCTCGTGTGTTTAGAGCGAAACGGGATACATAGGAGAGATTTCATTTCGGAATTGCTTAGAACTTCCGTTTCTTTTTCACGGGCTGCATAGCCTTCACCTCTAAATCCCGCTTCAACTCCGCTCTCTTTCGATCGGCCCTCTCCAGGCTCGTTTCCCTCGGCTCGGGTGTCTTCTCCTTCTCTTCATTGGCCATCTCTCTCCCACGGTCACCGTCAACTGTGTTGTTCAAGCTGATTTCTTCTTGTGTCGAACGTGGCGAGCTTTTGATCCGAGGCTCGGGGGAGTCAGGTGCAGGAGTGCTGGCTTTCTTTTTGCCTCCAATCTTCCCGAGCTTGCTCTTTGATTTGGGCGTTGTAGGTGCAGGTTCAGGGTCCGGTTCTGGAGCAGGTGGAGGAGCTGCTTTCTTGCCTCCTATTTTCCCTAGTTTTCCCTTTGCGGGTTTTGGTTTTGGTGCTGGTTCTGGGGTTGGAGAGGGCGCGTTGCGTCTAGTAGGCGAAGGAGCCGAATCATCTGTCGTTGCTTCTTCATCTATGGGAGGTGAAGGCCTGGGCGCTGCTTTCTTGGCTCCGATTCTACCTAGTTGCTTCTTGGGTTTCGGCATCGAGGGGGCTGGTGGTGATGGGGAAGCAGGTGGGTAGTGGTGTGATAGGGATTGGGATTGGGATCGGGATTTGGGGAAGCTGTCTGGGATTCTGGAGACCTGTGATGGGCCACCAAGGTCATCGTCTTCATCGTCAGTGGAATCGTCAAGAGGTGGGTTTTGCGGGCTTGATTTATGTGCTCTTGAGGCGAGGCGACGTGGTTCGGCTTGGACTTTGAAATCATCATTCTCATTAAAGGGTTGTTCTTGGAGTGTGGGTTTCAGTGACAGCCTTTTATTCTGCGGTGATGACTTTCCGAGGCCATTGGTGCTGATTCTCCCCGTATTGAGGTTTACGGTAATTCCTCTGATACTCTCCCACCAATTCTCGGGACCCTGCTCCCCAGTCGCACTGGTTTCTATATTTAACCCATCTGTAGTGTCGCCTTCGAAGACCTCTGATATCAACTGCCCCGCATCCTGTAGTTTCTCAGCGTACAGACCCTGCCTCCAAGTAACCATATCAAATCGCGCGAGACCCTTAACTCTCTCTTCCGCCTTCTTTCGGTCTATCTTTCGCCCCGCTTTCCCAGCTGCTTGAGGGAACACCTGGCTCAGTTCCATTCCCTGCGACTCCATAGTATCAAGCAGTTTTTGTATAACATGATCCTTGGCCTCCAAGACTTCCCCCAAACTCTTCACCTCCTGCATCTGCACATGTCGTGCACCCAGCAACGGCATGGTCAACTGAATTGTAAACAGCGATTGAGGGGCTGCAGATAATCGAATCGGCCATTGTAGTGGTGCAAGGCCTCCGGGTAGAGGAACCGTAAGGTTGAGGATGATCATAGGCCGGTCATCATCGGCATTGATAGTCAAGGCAGATGTTGTGTTATGGTGCCCCTCTAGCCCCAGTCTAATCTTCTCGAGAAGGATGCGGAACTGGTCGTCGTCGCTTGGGTCTATGCTCGTACCCTCCTCCTCGCTCCTGCGGATGATGCCCGCACGGTCCAGCGATTCCTTCCATATAGTTGTGAGATCGGTCAAATAGATGGTGTATGGGTCGGAAGTGAGCTCCAAGGATAGCAGAAAGGGGGGTAGATGAGCACTTGCAGCTTTCGACAGACGGAGAGGCTTCCAGACCATGGTGGCTGTTGGTTTGGAGCTGCAAGGTCGCGGTGGACAGAAACATGCGGCACTGAACCCGAAGGGTCCGTCGCAAGGCTGTCGGCCTGGATTGGATGATATACGCGTCGAAAACGGCTCTGCGGGGCGGAACGCTACATATATGATACATCAGCATGCGGACAGTCTGGTTTAGATTGTCTTGTTACCCAAAGTTACCACAGATGATGTAGGTTCGCGCTCCGTTGCTACACAAAGTTGTACTGAAACGGTGGTGGACAACAGGTTACCTAGAGTTCAGCCTTCACTTGCAGCGCAGCCTTGGCTCTAGTGGCTTAGTCAGAAAGTAAATAGGGCTAAGTCACGTGTGATCCCCCCTATCTGAAAGATTAGCGCGGACGTTGTGGTGGTTAAAAGTCGATAAAAAGCTGGAGCTAAAGAGTAATAATTTACGATATAGCAGGGGCAAAGTTTCAATAATTGTAGAATATATACCCGAGACATAAGAATGCAAGTGTCCGCAAATATATGGAGTGCCACCTGAAGAATTTCACTCGGAATATATAAACTTCGCAATTTCGATATGCAATGTGTTACCAGGTAAAAAATACCAAAAGCTTTGAAACATCAATCCCCCTTAGTCGGGCATCCTCGGCCATTGCTCATAATTTCTACCTCTGGTCGCGAAGCACCCCTTCTTCTCTTCTCTTCCACAAATCCCTCTGACTGGGTTGAGTGATCGGCTGTGGACCAAATTCTCCCCTGACTACTGGATCTGGAAGTTTTGAAGTCCTTGAACCTGACGTCCGCTTGAATTCAGGAATATTTGGAACACGCTTGACAACACCGAACTTTACCTCCGGAACACCTCGTTGCTTCTCTTCAGGGGTGAACGTCTCTTCCTTGTACCAGGAAGTTTTGATGTTTGTTTCGCGGCCATTGTTGATGTATCCACCATACGGCGCTGGCTGTATGTGATCCTCGGAACCGCAGTACTCCAACATTGTCTGACCGGGTTCTGAGTAGTCTCCTCCATCCTCGGAATTGTGGCTTAGGAAGACCTCTTTCAAGCCTATAAATCTCGACAGGTCTTTCCTGAGTTGCTCAATGGTTAATATTCCCCTAGTGCGAGAGTGACCACCATCGTAGCCGTTCCAGCCATCTTCATATTTGAGCCCAATACGTTGGACTCGCTCCAGATCTGCCTTGACCTTGGGATGCAGAGGCACTGGGGCGAATGAAAATAGATTGGTTTGAGGATTTGTCCAAAAAGTGTCCAAGTTCATGTTCATCCACTGTCCGAAATATAGAATGTCGATGTCTAGATCGGCATAGACATTTGGAGTATCAAAGCATAATTTATATCTTTGGAGTGCAATGTACCGTGACTCGCGGCAGACCGCAAGTGCCGCAGGATTTGGAGTATGATGAGATTTGGGGAAGTAAAGTCTCCCAAGAATTTTCTTGCGGACAGGCTGCCCTTGCTCCCGAGTTGAGTTTTCTGCAGAGGCATCTGGATCAGAATCACCATCGGGCTGACCTCCGTCAAGACTCATTGGGTCTGAAATAGAGGAAAGAGGTAAAGGCTTCGGAGCCTTCCCTGGGCAAATGGTTCGGGGTCCAGGGAGAGAGTGTTCCCATATGACCAGCCGGACATCCTTAGGAAACTTGTTGAACAACAAGAACGGCACAATCTCAGCCAGTTTCTTTTCCCGATACACTTTGAGTCTACGCTCATAGTCCAGCTTTCGACCTTCCGGGCCCCAATTTTCTTCATCGAGCGTATAGAGACGGTTCATGAGAACACTCTTATCGCCTGTATCTGGCAAGCCTCGATAGCGTAATTCCTCTTGCATATCTTCCAGTGATTTCCATCCGTGCTCCTCTTCCATCTCTCTGGAGCGTATCAGATTTCTTTCGTCGGAAACCATTGTGGTGGAAAGAATGATGATGTTTGATGATGGTAAAAAAGAAAGAAGGAAGAATGTAGGCAACATCGAAAGAGATGGGCGCCTATTCGACGCACGTGATTCGATGGGCAGATCAGGCCCCCGCCGCATCTTCTCATTCGTTCCCACTCTTCAATACAAAACAAAATTGATATATATATTATGTCTTGAGGCATCTAACAACTACGCCTTCCCCAACGGGCTCCTGATAATTCTTGAAGAGCATCATTTTCAAAGTTCGTCTCCTACTTTATAAGTGAAGCGATAATGCGTGCCACAACAAGTTATTCGATTCCAGGCAACGAATTCCACTCCCGTAAATTTATCATCTCAGGTATGACTGAAGATCTGCATGCATTACTGTTGTATCAATCTTCTCTAGAATTAAAGTAGAAAAAATTTATATTTTGAGCTTGGAATTTCTTCAAAAACTGTTGTGTCTCGCTCAATTGAACCCCTTATAAGTATCCGTACAATTAACATCCAGAGTCGCCACATCAACATTCAAACAAAACGCATCCCTTTCACCCCCTGTACTCTGCACATCTATGCCCTGCGCTACGATATTACTACAAGCGCTATCACTACTACACGCAAAAGTGCTCGTCTCCGGCGCATACTTCTTGCTCGTCTTGCCCTGAAAATTCGTAAACAGGACATCAGAAATGGTGAGAGGCGAAGGATATTGGAGACAGAGCGTGAGGTTGGATTGGCCGTAGCATTGGTCAACTTCGATGGCGTAGTCGACGTTGTCGACTAGTATGGTGTCGTACGTTATGTTTTGCACGAGGCCGGAACCGCCTCCGCCTTGGAGATCGCCGGAGAGTGCGGAGGGTGTGTTGGGCCAGACTTTTATGCGGGCCGCATCTGAAGCATTATGCATGGAGATGTTGTAGACGTAGATGTTTTGCACGATGTCGAATTCGCCTACGTATTGGCCGAGGGAGCCAACACTAATTCCGTGAGAACCGTTGCAGAAGAGATTCTGGATTAGAATATTGGTGCTATTGGGTTTGAAAGATATACAGTCTGTGTTTTTGATGTCAGTGAAGTTCAAACTCGGGACAAGAAACTTACCATCTCCATTGTTGATATGCGAGTTTTGGATCACGATATCTGAACTTCGGTACGTGTCCCATCCATCAGTATTCTTCGCTACATTGGCGCTTTTGCTTCCACCGGCAATATTGATGTTATCAAAGACAACATTCGTTGAGTTAGCTATGAAATGATAGTATTCAGGCGAATATCTCAGAACCAGGTTGCTTATGGTAGAGTTGTGAAGCCCGTCAAGTCCAAACAAAACTGGCCGAAGAGTATAAATGTTCGACGCGTACAAATCATACCAAATTTGACCATTACCGTCGATAGTTCCTCCACCAAAGATATTGACATCATTTCCTCCGAGTTTGAAGAAAGATGTGACATTTTGGAAAACAAAGCGGAATGAATTCGCTTGCCAATAAGTCGTATCGTTTGAAAATTGAATATAGGATTGGACGTCTAGTTGTAACATTTAGTGTCTGTGGAGCCTGGACGTGAGCTGAAGCATACCGATGTCAATGTGGTTAAGGAAAGTCAAATCGAGAGCTGTCCCAATTGTATACTTCAATCCTTGTTTGAATACAACATGACCACCATTGTTGCAATCATGAAGAGCGTTCAAGACATACGTTGAGTCATCACTCACACTATCGTTATAACTCTTTACGTAGCACACCTTGTTCCGAGGAGGGGACCAGGGCGGGGGCTGGTGTGGAGTCTTTGGAAAACAAGAGATATTCGGCCTGGGTGAAGTGTGCTCTGGAGCTTGATGACCTTCAAAGCTCTGTATCCATGAATTTTCAGCCTGCCATGTTGGATTGGCAATTGAGACTGTTGCTGATGCAACAGCGAGGATTGCAGGGAGCTTGAAATGCATCCTAAGGTTATTGCAATGCGGGGCCAATTAAAAGTGATAGCTTTTACAAAGATGAAGCTCTTCAAGCTTACTCTGGGAACCATGATGGCTTTATTTCTTGCTCGACGCACAGGAAAAGTAGTTTCGGTAAGCTGCGGTGATAACTGCTCGGATATTCTTCCGGATACCATGCATTTCCCAGCTTGGCAACGAAAACAGGGGATTTCCTGGTTGTATTGACCAATAGGATTCGTGTCCATTGTGGAGAGAACAGAGCTCCCCAGATTACTCCATTCAAAGTTGAAAAATTAATGTTGGAGTGTGGATACCCCCGCACTTCAAGATGTTCCGAAAAGCTTCTCATTTGTTGAAAGGAGATGGGGTCAGGTACGCGAACAGCATCCTAGTAAAACACTTTGCGGGGAAACTGCAATTGGTGGAACTTTCACTTAGTTATCCGACCGACTGCCAGGTCATTGGGTTTCCACTTGAAAAAGCGAAGGGTGGCAGGGTGGGAAAACTCTCTTATATTTTGACCCGGAAAAATTGAAAGGCTTTGTCGAGTGGCTGGGATGACTTCATCATGTGATGTTGAGACGCCTCGATGGTACTGACTACTTCAGTTTTGGCAAGTACGAATGATTAGACTCATTATTGGCGCTTGGCAAAGTTGCATTTCAACTCAGTTAGCAAAAGAAGATATCTAAAGGTTCAGTGCTTTAGCTGGAAAGTTCCTCGGGGTTATACGAGTAAGCTAGTTAGACTGGTTTTCAACCAGATTTACAACACCTGACTCCGAAAAGTTTTGGGGCTTCTCAAATGAACTCCCCGCGCTCTGGATTACTCGGTCGCTCTCGAGCGCTAAGTATCAAGTTATTAAAAAATGTTAGTTCGATATTATACAGCCAACATGGCGCTTACACATGAGCAAAGGCTCAACGGCATTGCCGGCGACAGTAGTAAACGCTCTGCAGCGCTTTCCGCGTTTATACCAACCCCCACCTCTGCTCAAAGCCTTTCCATGCGCCGCTGCTGATCCGGCGCTCTCTTGCATCCATCCATACCTGAAGCATGATCCGAAACGGCCGCTTTGCCATTGCAGCTTTACCCTGCATTTCTTCAGCGGGGCCTTAATAACTACTTGCAGACAGCAGCATGACCTTTTGCATGCATAGCGTGAGCAAGATATAGCAATCTGATTGTGATATATCATATTCGTCCTCTCGTTTACAGGAACAGCGTTTAGCAGCGAAAGAAATGCTCTGTCCTATGCGGCTAGCCACACCGGCTCGGCCCTTGCCAGAACACACCACTCTTCCTGGATTTTAGGGGTGGGAAATGCAGACCAGGCCTCGAAGAAGAGAATATAAACGAATTCCTCTACCAGTCTCCTGCTATGCTGTTGCTTGGCGTGCTAGTGGCAGTTAATAAACCGTCAATGGCGTTCACACTGTCAGCGGCTTTCGAGGGCGGATCAAACGGCTATAAATCAAGAGGCAGCGTTTTATTCCCGCGCAGTTTTCCTTGGACAAATAGATTGAGCAGAACATTGTTGTCATTGAGATATTTCGTGGAAGGATCTAATCTAATCAAGATCTCGCATCAGATTATTTAGCCGCCAGGATCTGAAGATCTGGAAATCTTGGGACTCCACTGATCAGATCCTCAAAACCGAGCTCTCGGTTGATACAGTACCACCGATCGACGACGAGCATTGATGGGCCGCAAATCGACGTGGTGTTGCGATTTGAATGCATATTCGATCATATTATGCAGATGCCCTTTCTCGGAATCCTTCCTCCTCGGGGTTGAAAGTCCGATTTCCTACCCTCAACTGCAGGAAACTCCTCCATAGCTAAAGGGGGGGTTTCCACCCTCCTGATATATATCCAAGAAGTCTCAATGGCTTGTGCCATTTGTTCGGGAAACGACAAGGGGGTTCCGCCCCGGTTTATAGATTGTGACCCCGCCATCCCGCGAATAACTCTGCTACTTGATAACCCCCCAGCAGCTTGGGGTAGCTATTGGCAATGATTTCGGGTCCGCGCGCCATGTCCTCAAAGTAACCCTGTAGCTTGGCACCGCCATCCCCACGCCCACAATCCAGTCCCAGTCTCTGGCGAACAATTCCCAAGGTGGCACTCGAGTGCATCTCAGCCTGGTCGCTAAAAATGCTAGATGCCGTCGGCACCCACTATCTGGGCTTGAGGAGACGCACTCCTAAGCCAATGACCGGAAATGTCAGCTTTCTGCGGGAGCAGGGATCTTGGTCCCCGTCCGGCGACCTCCCAGACACTGCACGTTAGACCCTGGATTTACCCCATTTGCAGAGCAGAGTCTGGTTGATAGGATATACCGGTACTCAAGATGACCCACTCACGACAGACAGTATCGATACTCACTCGGCCCACTACTGTAAGGGGAGTCTGGTCAAGACTGACGTGATAAGAACCTTATAAACCAATAACCTCTACGGTTCTGTTGCTGGACCCTTCCCTTCCTGGACCATAGCGTAGGCACTAACAGAATAAAAACAAAATAAAAAATTAAGTCCTTTTAAAACCCGCAAATCCCTTCCACCCACCTCCCCCACGTCCCCCATCTCCCTGATGCTTATAATGCGAAAAAAAAAAAAAACGACAAGTCAGAAAAAGTCTGTCTCGAGAATCTGCTTCAGATTATCTTCTGCCCTACACTACAATGTTCAAACACTCAATGCTGCAGTCCAATTCATCTAAGATGCATCAGACCCCCCACTTGCACGCACAAACCCAATAAAACCACCATCAACAGCAGACACAATCCAATCCAGAGGCAAGATTCTCATTAACGCTGAGCTGAGCTGAGCAGAAATGATGATATGATGCGAGCAAGCAAGCCAGAAAACAATGCACATTTGCAAACCGCCAAACCCTGTATCCTTATCTTGATGTATGTCCACCCAAAAGTAATTAATGAGACCGTATTATCAACCATGCCATGAATGAGGCAAAATCAATCAAGCAGCAACCAAAAGCAATAAACCGAACCAGGCCGCATCGTTCTATTTCATGTCTGTCTGTCTGTCTCCCGCAAAAGAAAACAACAGCACGCACTTTATCCACCGGCTGTACAATGCACGATACCAGAAGAACCCGCCTCTGGGACCGCGTCCCGTTCGTTTCAACTAGTAGCGTGGAAGTCCATCAGCAGAAGCGTAATCGTGGTTATTCACAAAGATAGGTCCATGATCATCAATGTAAACTCCCTGTACGTCTTGCAGCCCACACATATCCTCATACGGCATTTCGAGCTGCTGTTTGGGGAAGAAATACGGGTTACACCCCGCACCGGAGATATTCTCATGCGTAGGTGGCGTTGGGGGTGAGCTATGTCGCTGAGTTTGGAAATGCGAGCGTAGGAATTCGTGTCCGTGCCCATGTCGTGAGCGATGAGTGCTAGACATGGAGCGCTGTTGTTGTCTTTGCATCTTTGTTTTGCTAGCAGAGATTCCACCTTTGCGGCCGGAGCTTTGGCGTGACGGTGCAGGGTTCTCCGTCTTCATGAATTTTTTTGCGCCGGTGCCTTTGCGGTAACGGGTTGTGGATTGTACGCCGTCTTTGATGGCGAACTCTTCAAGGACCCATTCGGTTGACTTTTTGGTCTCATCGCCGGGCGTTTTGCGCTCGGTCTTCTTGAATGCCTTTTTTGTACCAGTTAGCGTTGAATCATTTGTTTTGTTGACATGGGTCAGATAGGCTTACAGCATTCATTGACAAGTTGTGACGAATGCTATTCATCCAGCCTTTAGTGTCTGAGGCGCCTTTGGCGGTGTGTTTTCGGAACCACTCATAGATCTCTTGCAGAACCATCGAATGATCCGGCGCGCTCATAAGCGCTCGATAAATCAGCTTGGCGTATGGTTCATCTGCAGAAGGATCGTCCCCATCAACGACTGTCATTTCACGGGAACTGATACCACCATCCTCTGAAGGTTCACTAGATGGTAGAGAGAAATGAGTTGGTTTATTGAAGGGGAAATGATCAGAACTAGGAGTTTCGTGCGCTGGCTTTGGGCTGTTGCTAATGCTCAGTCGTGAGAAATTGTGTGAGTTCTCCAAGGCATCGAATCCAAGAGAAGTTGAAGTTGGTTCTGTGGAAGTCTGCATGTCATTCTTGTTGGGATCCATCAAGTAGGCAGAAGCATCAAATGGGTCAACGGCCATGTTACCGCCGTCATCAAGCATCCTTGGGTCGCATGGGAAAGATGTGCGAGGGACTTCAGAGTAGCTCATGTCTCGTAAGAAAGGACTATCCTGCTCGTTAGCGACAATACTCGGAGAGTAATCGTAGTAGTCGTTGGTGTTTTGGTTTTCAAAGTCCATCGGGGTGTGGTTTGGGTAACTCCAGACTGTGGAAGCTTGTGGCATGGCCATCGAGGTGGTGAGACTGTAATTGTTGGAAGGAATGTTGGGTACGGTTGAGGGAGTGATCATAAAGTGTTGATCATTTTGAGCTCGGGGAAGACCATCAAAAGAGACCATCTGGTGCGCTGATTGCAATGGGGCCCCGGAGCTCTCGGCATACTGAAAATTCAAAGGCAAGCTGTTGATTTGAGGCCGACGACGGTAGTGCTCCGAATTCATATTGAGCGTCTGAAAACAGACCTCTTCGCTTCACGGCCTATGATGTGGCTAAGGGATGAAGTGTTCCTTTCAGTTGGATTGCTGTATTGTACTACAACTTGACGGATGACGGGTCGGAGATTTCGAAGAATTGGGAATGGCAAAGGAAATCAGATGTAGATATTCAACTAGAGTATCTAATCCGTGGAATTTGAGTGGATGAGAGAGACCATGCGGGATGGCGCTGCCAACGCATGGGTACAAGCTCATGGAAGGAGTGATGCAAGCCTCGTTTGTGCTCCGACGGGAGCATGGCATATTTTTACTTAAGAGAATGGGCACCCAGCTATTCAAACGTTCAGTAGCAATCGCTTGCTTCTTGTCACCGTAGTGCCGCAAATAACCAGAGACGCACTAAGAAGCGCATCATGGGTACGTAGTACACATTAAGCCGCTAGGGAGGCTGCATGCGCTAAAGGCACAAGACTGTGAGGAGAAGGGGGGATATGAGAAGTAGAAACGATTACCAGGTTGCACCGCAAGCCTCAAGCAGGCTTAATATTTGGCACCGTGGTCCGGGCGACGGGTGTGGATCATCTCAGTCCCATGGAGAGTTTCTAGAAGAACGCTAGAAATAAACTTTACCATCACTACTACCGCCGTACCCGCAGGGAGGATGGGCATCTACCGGCAGGGACTGCTTTATCATTGGGTGTTGCGACAACGAGAGGTGCGGTGGCAGGTAAGACGTATTCCAGCCAAGAGAACGACATCTGGAAGGCGCAGGTAGCCATCCCTTGAGCCACACATTGCGAAAGGGATGACAACCGTCACTGATTGCGCCAATGGGTCCTATGGTCAGCCATTTCAACAATGAAAACAATGCGAAGCTTTTATGCTTATGTACGCATTGTGTTTCCAACTTCTGCATGCACCCAAGCCTACTGGCATGCGGGAGGGGAGATCCCTTACCCATGAGCTTCAGAGGTGATACAAGGGTGAAGGAAGGGTGGGTGTGCGACACGGAACACGTGCGAAAGTCTGGAACATTTTCTTAGTGAAATCATTGTATTTCGTAGCCTCTAATGAATACCTTATTTCCCAGGTCCAAGGTCCCGTGGCGAGATACCCTAGCTTGCTAGCAACCCTCAAACGATCACTTTCGATAATAAACCTGCGACGAGTCAGAAAGGTAAGGATTAATGACTGGGGGTGCTCGGATCTTACCTTTTTGTACTGGAAGTGCAGTTGGAGGATACCCTATGTGGAAGAATAAGTATTAATGAGCAAGGGTGGTTGAGAGGATCAATTGACGCGCGCCTGGAACGGCAGGGAAGATAAGCGTACCTTGTCGAAACTGCTTCGGAAACCGCGGTCTCTCTTTGCGCTGTAATCCCATTCTTTATCAACGATGCGAAATGCGATATCTTCGTAGGGTGGTCCTGCGATGAATCGAAGCAGGCAAGTATCCTCCTCACCGGCTGGAGCAAAGGATTCGCCGCGTTTTCGACCATGTTCCCGAATGATTTTGAACGTGGGTGCTTTGGCCTTGTCGATGAGGTCTGGATAGAATATATTGAATTTATAACCTTGAACTACCTTTGGTGGTGGATTGTCGTGGTCATAATGCGTCTGGTTGTACTTGTTCCACTCGTAGCCCATCTGCACACGATTAAAGTATCGAGGTTTCCTCGGTCGGTATTTGTCTGCCCATTGTGGTTTGGCCGCAGTTGCCACAGATTCTTCGCCGGTAAAGATTTCTTCATCCTCGTTGACTCCTCGAGCAACTTCGCGTTCGTACAATGCTTTGGTAGCTTGTGAGAAGTCTTCACTGACAATTGTCGAAAAGCGTTGAGTCCCTGGAGGAGCGGTGCTTGTAGATACTTGGGCCGTTCTGGCAACCGAGATTGAGCTTGCTTTTTCCGCAGATAGCTGTCGCGAGGGGACATAACCAAGTTTCAAAATTTTGCGACGCTCTGCCACGACCTTTCGCAGAAATACAGATTCATCCACCACGTCACTTGATTTATCCTCGTTGTGCAATTTAAGAAGAGGTTCTGGATCATGCGCCGAGTCATACTGGAAAATGGGTTGTCGTCGGCTCAAATGTGAGACATTGCCGTCCTGGACCATATTCTCGGATCCTTCTTCGACCACTGGAGAAGGTCCCATCAAGATCTCCTGCAATTTTGTCTGTACGCCTTTGGCATCCTCTAGTTGTTGCGTTCGTAGAGTTTCCAGGCGACTGTCGAGAACTGACTGGTAAACCTTCTTTAGTTTTGCCTTCGCCTTCCATATTAGCAGACTTCGCAAGAGCTGTTCCCAATAATCCACATCGATCGGCTCGTTTGATTGCAACTTGGTTCTGATCTGCTTCTCCAATGCCTCTAATTGCTCATATGTCTTTGGTCCCAACAACTTGTCAACATCTGAGGCGACCGAGCTGACAGCACGGCCTTCGGGTCCTTGAGGCTTCAATCTCTGGCGGCGGTCGATGCAGATGATGTGCATGGTTTTCCAATAATCTTTATTCTTCGCATTCGTCTCCAGGGAAAGATATGAGTTGATGTCAGTCTCTAGCTCTCCGAGTTGGGCATCATTGAGGCCTTCGAATACACCCTCGGGATCCACGACATCGATCTGAACTTCCTCTTCTTCATCATCTTCCAGCAGATCTCTGTCTGGATCTATGACTCGCAGAATGACCGCGAGCCAGTCAATTGGCTTTGCTCTGCCTTCCCGAACCCGAATGTCTGCCTTTTTCTTCGCCTGCTTTAACACAAAACTATCCTCCTGCGAAACCCACAGCCGAGTTTGCTCATCATCTTCCAGGTTGTTGGTATTCCGAGCCGGTCGAGTGTCGGGAGTTCTGTTTCCAGAGGGAGTTGGGCGTGCAGGTTTTGAGATGCGAGAAGTTGGGTCTCGTCGCGGGGCGGTGATATCTCTGGCAGGCGAGTCCCGACCCGATATCATAGCTCTCCTTTCGGGATTCATTGCGACGATATATCCAGGTACGTGGTTGATTTGGAGTTGCGCAGTCGCAAACAAATCTTGGCCTTGTCCCTTGTCGCCTCGTCGCCTCAAGGTTTCACTAGTGGTTTAAATTATTCGCTTACGTCAGCCAATCTATACCTAAAGGGGAATCGTATGGTGTATAGTAGCTTCCAGCCTTACATATATATTACCCAACAATGTTTATTATCCGCTTTCAAGAACCATCTATAACGTTAAGAACATCCCAACCTACAAAAAAAGAACCAACAAACTAGCCAGTTAGATCCGCCTAAAAAAACACCATATCACATCACATCACATTCAAGCACATTATAATATAATATTCTTTCAATCCATAGTATATCCATCCATCCATGCACTTGATCAAGAGAATTCATTTACAACCAATCCATCCATCCAGCTAGATAGCAAGCTCCAAGCTCCAATTCCCACCCATGCACCCGCGCCGCATCGAATATGGAAATCATTATATGTTCAAAGATACAAAAGCCTTGTTCCAGACTTCCTGACGACTAGCCGTATAGCTCGTAGCTCGTCTAAATCGTACTTGGTTTGTACAGTGTACACCTCCTCAGTCACGCTTGACCGTAGTGACGAATAAATGCGAGGTTCATATACCTCACCTCACCTCACCTCATCCATCTCACCTCCACCCCCCCGCCTTCAACCCACCATCCCCCTTCCTCGTCTCGAACTTAAGACTCTTCCGCCCATAAACCCTACGACTCCTCTCCTCGCCCCCGCCCTCCAACCACCGCGCCAGGTTCTTACACTGACTGACATCGAAGCGCTCCAGCACCGTACAGCCTTCCACCACGGCCTCGACGCCCACGCCGGTGACACGTACACAGCCGCGCACGGACAGTTCTTTGAGCTCGAGCAGATGCAGACCGATGGAGCGGAGTGACGAGTCAGAAACGGCGCTGCCGCAGAAGGAGAGTTTGAGGGAGGAGAGGAGCGGGCAGCCGAGGGATAGCACTTCGGTTGCTGTGTCCGAGAGGGCGCAGCAGAATGACTGTTCATCCCCTCAAAATTAGCCAAAATGATACAAATGATAGCCACCCCCGTCTTTCTAGAACAAATATGAATCAAGATGAAAGAGGGGGAAATAATGAAAGGGGGACAAACCAAATCCAACTCCCTCAACCCCTTGGCCGCATTCGTCAAGTACACAATTGCATTATCCGTCAAATACGTACAATCCGCCAGAATCAGCCTCTCTAGCTTAGTAAACTTGTAAATGCTCCAATGCTGGAAGCCGCCATCCGTGATCGTCGTGCACCGTGTTAGATCAATACTTTGTAATCTCGCATGCGCGTGGACGGCGAGATGAGCCATGCTGCGATCAGTGACGTGTTTGCAGTAACTTAGGACAAGGCGCTTGAGCTTGGGGCATCCGACTACTGTTCCGACAGGAGGAGCTTGTGCTTGTATAGCAAGCGCTTTGGAATTGCTGGTGCGGGAGTTTGATGCCTGGGGAGTATTGGGTTCGGTGACAACCCATCCTACGATTCGCGCAAGCAGGTTATCAGATACTTTCCTGCAATTCGAGAGGTCGATTTCCTCGAGCTGTTTCGCGTTGTTCGCCATGTCTAGCACGGCATTCGCACTGATATCCCATACGGATTTCATCTTCCACGAGGTCGTATTGCTTCCACATTGAGTTGAGAGTGCCGTGAAGCCTTCGTCTGTTATGTGGAAGCAGTTGCTAATGTCGATTGTGCGGGCGCGTTTGCCAACAAAGGGACATATGAGCGTTATCAGGGTGTGGTTGGTCACGGTGCGATTGTAGGCGGAGAGGTCGAGATAATGGCAGAGGTCCTGGGAGTTGGTTAAGAGTTTGGACCAGTGGAGAGAAACGCGGCGCAGGCGCATTAGTTGATAGATGTCTAGATAGGTGAAGATGGCTGTGAGGATTCCGTCGGGCAAGATACCTCTATTGTATTGGCTTGGTCGTCTTTCTAAAATCTTGGGTCTTTTGGAACGGAAGCTGAATTCCGAAGGAGTGACTGCGTGGGGTACTTTTGAGGGTGTGGGCGTTGATGTTCTTGATCTCGTCCGCGGACCGGGATTTGAAGTAGGTGAAGTAGGTTCCTCTGGAGCCTCTGTATTTGGGGGCGCCCATGAACCCCTTCTAGCCCCTCTTGTTCTCATATTGTCCATATCGACGCTGAGAAATGGATCTGGATCTAGAGGTTCCAGCACTTCCATATCCTCCGCTCGACTTGGCTTGTGCGGACTTGCTGGTTTCGAAGGAGTAAATGTAACTTGAGGTAAGGAACCTCGTATTGGTGTTTTGATACGCTCTTCTAGTTCCAGCTGGTTAATCGGAGGTCCATCAACATCTGTCATAGCTGTATCCTCGCTGTCAGGTTTCGCAATCCGCAATTTTGCCGTCGTTTCAACCTGCCGTTTTATATCAGGAGGACATCGCACCCAGAGCTCCTCAAGGACTTCTCCACTGATCATCAGACACTCAACTGTAGTAATAGACCGAACGGTAGCTGTCCTTCTGGGTGCTAGAGCCAAACTTGCCACTTCTCCAAAATACTGACCCTGCTTGAGTCGCGGTCGTAAATTGGAACCCCTTGACGACGGGTTAATAGCTTGCCCATTTGCAGTCTCATGGATGACTTCAGCTTCTCCCCGCACTATGAAGTATATTTCATTTCCTAGAGAGCCTTGTGTAATGATGTCTGTAAATGGCGGGTATGTCTTCGGTTGAGCGCTCAGTCCGAGAAAGTGTAGAATGTCAGGCGGTAAAGTTGAAAAAAGAGGCAATTCCTTAAGCGTCCGTCTCACATTCACAAATCCACTCCCTAGCGCACTCCCCGCAGCTATATCCTCGATTCCCTGCGGACTGGGAGATTTTCGCTTTTTCTTATTTATTACCGCTCCGCCCTCAATGACTCCCACGTCACCAGTAGCGACCTCTCCGGGTGCCGCTTCTCTTGCGACCTTCCCCCCTCTGGACGGGAGCGAAGTAGAGACAACTTTTGGACCATATCCACCCTCCTTCCTCTTCTTATTCAATATTGTAAGCCGTTCTTGCGCCTCCTCCATGATCGCTCGTTCCATCTCCGGAAATCCAGGAAGCTCTGCCCGCAGATCCTCCTTCTTCAGCACAACCAGCAGGCATTTCGTCCTGGCGATAATAGTAGCTGTCCGCGGCACGTCCATGAGAATCCCTATCTCGCCAAAGAACGCCCCGGGTCGCAGTTCCGCGTATGTAGCTTCGCCATCGCGCGAGGTGACTGCTACGGCACCCCGCACTAGCCAGTACATGGCTTTGGCATCGTCTCCTTCCGTCAAGATGTGATCGTGTGGTGAATGGACCTGTGGGCGCAAGTGCTTGCCAATCGCAGCGAGGAAGGAGTCGGGGGCAGAGAGGAAGAGGGGAAAGGAGCGTATGCGGTCTAGCAGGTCGAGTGGCATATCGGGAATCGTCGACGCTGTTAATGGAGAAGGCCGAATAGGCCGAGTAGGATGGGCATCACTTTCAAACGCGCGGATCAGGGACAAAGAGTCCGGTATTGGAGCTCCATTGCCTCGGAATGGAGAGCTAGGTCCTCCTCGATTTCGCCGCATAGTTGCGGAGTATATTTATGTCTCAGCGGTAAACCTGTCGCCCCGCGCCTTCTCCTATATTCAATTCGGCCTACTGGCCGTCGTGCCAGAATTACTTTGGTATGGCCAGCTCTGCAAATATGGCTCAAAGGATTTGGGATATCTTCAACTTTCGAAAGCCGCAAGAGGCGAGGCAGGGTACAGCGCAAATGCCCAGCTCTTCTTTTTTTTTTTAAAATCTTTCGAGATATGTACAAGAGTAAATTTCTGTAGGAAAATTTGTTTGTTCGATCGGGTTCCCGCGCGTTAGAAATGGTGAGACGTGTCGGTGAACTAGTCATGAAGAAGTCAGTTCTATTTCCATGTAATTGGTGAGGCTTCCCCTCCGAGCTTTACGTGAGTTGGAGCGAGAGGCCTTAGGACTCACATTCCAGAGGACTCTTGGCTGAGGGGTAATTCTGTGGTACTGCTTGTCGCTTGCACTCAGCTCAGGCAGTATACGGAGTCTCCAAAGTCAATGAATAGCAGGAGGGGATACAAATATGGCGAAAGAGAGTAGAGCAAGGTAAGATACGAGTAGGGTAGGTAGGAGAGGAGGTAATGTAATGCACGGAGCGCTTTTTGGTAGATGAGGGTCGGCGACGCCTTCTCCGTATTTCATCCACACTCAATTGGCTTGCAAACGGGCAAGGCGAAACGAGATGCGATGCAATGTTCCGGCAGGATGAAGCTGCGGTGCGGTGCGGGATGGACTGCGCTATGACGATGCAGCGTAGTGGTGGTGGTGTCGTGACGGAGGTGGAGGTCTTCACACACGTTCAGTGAGGGTGTAGCATTTACATTTATTACCGTAATTATCTGGGAATAATAATAATATTTATCCATCGTGTTAAAATATATATGTATGTAATCTGACATACGGATTCAGACTCGCAGACCGCTCCAGGAATCTTTTTCTGCCCCCATTTATGTGCCTACACTACATTCATTCAGCTTCTTACTGCGGCTACGGCCACCCACGGCAACAGCACAGCACGCACAGCCACAGCCCTCGCGTGCATTGAAACGTGAGATTGCTTATCACTTAAGCTTCTTCTTCACTCCTTCTAGAAGGCCACCTGGCACGTTTCTCAGCCCTGTCCCTGTACCTCCGTACCTCCGTACCTCCTCTCACTTCCACCTCCACTTCCACTTCCACCTCCCTATGTAAGGTACGTTACTCTGGCGAACCCGATGCACGTTGCACTCGTTGTGATTTTCATTTTGGTCAGCACCTCCTACTCCTACTCGTACGCATGTCGTGAGATTGGTGAAACATCTATTTACGACATTATCCATTTTCAATACCGGCAAGGCCGCTCGTCCATGGCTTCATTCATTGCTTGATTCATCCCCGTCCTGTACTGTGCAAGCATACGAGTACTGGATTTATAATATAGGTATTTCTGGTCCGTGTAAGATTACTAAGGTAGTACTCGAGTACCTCAAAACGTCCATTCAACACGGTAAAACTTACCTACCCAGTCACAGTAACAGCAGCAGCGGACAGGGTGGTCAATTAATATATCATCCGCCCCCTTTACACTGCAGTCTGCACCAATATGCCTCCCGCGAGTCCCACCCATACACCACCCCCCCTCTCCTTTCCACATCGGAGGTACCCGGAATCCATCATTAATTATCGACAAAGACTCTGAGATATAAAGCTAGCATTTAGTATGTCCCTAAACAAGAGTAGGCATTTTGTTCTTCGACTGCTTCATTCGTGAGGACTAGCTGGCAGATAAGCATACACTGCAATCGGATTATTCGTCACTTGTGGTGTAAAGAAGAACGAAGAATAATCATCACCGTTGTTTTCCAGGCATTGGATGGGGTGTTAAAAGGTTTATACGGTACAGTTAGTTCGAGGTATTGGATTTCGTATAACGCTATGGAGTAAAGGCGCTTGTTTGTTAGCCTGATGGAGTGAAATGAAGCTTAAAGTTGAAATGGCTGCTTGCTAGTGGAGAAGCTGTGGGTATTTACCGCAGTTCTTATTTCTCCCCAGCCCAAAGCTACCTATGGACACAACTCTCACAAGAGATTACCGGTCGTTAATAGGATGTTGAACAACATTAGAGTCCTGTAGATAGACGGCTTTCGAGAAGTGCAAGCTGAAAGAAAAAACCGTTGATATGAACCTGCGCAAGCCTCCGCCGTTTGGGGATTCAGAAGTGTTCTCGTAAACATAGCGACACCATGTTTCCATGTTTCGAAAACCTCCCACGTCAGCTTCGACCCGGTGCTCCATGCCTCAGAAAAGCATTGATAGAAGCAACAGCCAGATTATGCAGCAGAAGCATCTGATACTTCTCCGCCAGGCAACAAAGCTTAAGACTTTTCCAACAACCCTCCATAACATCCCCATCAAACCTCGTCTCCAGGCTCGGCTTCCCCAGCGCCGGCAACTCCCCCTTATATGCCCACTCCACCACGTCGTTGGCTGGTCGATGTCTAACTGACAGGATTGATGATATATATGCCTCTATATATTGGGGGAAATGTTCTCATAGTTGTATTGCAAGGTGGTTAACGCGACATGAAAGAGAGGTTGACGCGTCGAGGTGAGACGGAAAATGCGGGTTCACGTGCATCCCTGTCGAATTGGTTAATGATCAGCATTGAGAGTCAAAGTAGGGTAATCCGCTGGCAGACTACTAAGAGTCATGTCCGAGTATCACTTCGTGATCATCTTGTAAGAAAAAGTTTTCATTGGGAGAAAATCTGGAAAGTCCAGAGGAGACGATGTAGGAAAGAATTCCTACCCATGACTGAGCCCCCTCCGTCGTGCCTTCCTTCCTTCCTTCTTCCTTCCACCGCAACTTCGTGAAACCATGACTTTCTCCCAGATTGCACCTCCAAAGCCATTTCAAGAAAGCCTAAAGTTCGTAGTAAGACCTGACTGTAATGATACGACGACGACAATCCTTCGTTCTGATATGATGACTAGAATTCCCATTATTATACTCTATACACCTCGACATCTACAAACCCACAAACCATAACTATCTGCAAACGCCATTGGAATAATGTACAGCAAATCCCCACATGGGTATCTGGCCCATCCTGTCGTCTAAACCGAACGAACGCCTATCCAATCCCATGCAAACCCAGTCCTTCCTTCATCCCAACTCCGGTAGATGGAAATAAAACAGATATACAATCCATCACTCAATCAAGCCCACTCCCAATCCCAATCTCAGCCTCGGCCTCCCTCCTCACCAGGCGCAACAAGTTTAACACTCTTCTGCCTCGCCAACCCTGCCCCCGCCCCAACCCCCCAGCGCAACCCTCACGCCCTCCACCGCCTTACTCTGATTAACCTCCCTCTGATCTCTCCTCACACTCCTCGGACCCATCGCCCTCCCACTCCGAACCAAGCTATCCACTTCTCTCTGCTTGACCGCCTGCTTCTCCTCCCACCTCTGTTGCCGCCACGCGCCAGGTAAACAAGGATGCAGACACCCTTCCAGCGGACAACAACCCCCAGAATACTTCTCGCCTTCATGAAACTGCGGCCCGGAGTGCCAGGCTTGCATGCAAGCGCTGTGTCCACCGTGACCGCAGCCAGGACATAAAAACCATACTGCGCCGGCTTCGAGGACAACACCGTCAGCCTCGTACTCGTCGCGTAGGTCTGTGTCGAGTTCTCGCTGGCGACATATAGCGCAGGCGTCCATTGATTGCTGACAGCGGGGACAGCGCCAGACGGAGTTGGGAATTAGGGGGTCTGGATCGAGGGGCTTGTTGCAGTCAGTGCAAAAGTAGCCAACAGAGATGTTATCTTGAGCTGGCCCGAAGACTGACGGGTAGGTCGGAACGCCGAGGTTGCGGAGGAGAGCAGCTTCGGTGAATAGTTTCAGCGTTGTGAGGCGATGGTGGTATTGGATTATTATAGCGTTGGCCTGGATGTTATCTATTGCGGAAGCGGGGAGAAGAGGGCGAAGAAGGAGTATCATAGCTGCGGCATTCAGGGCACCAGTCTGTGTTTCAAAGCTAATGGCGCGCTTGACGAGAACAGTGGGATTTATTGGAGAGATTGTAAAACCGGGGTCTCTCGGCCAAGGGAGGAAGTCGCTTTCGATTATGTTTGGGTCTTCGGACACTTTCTCTTCCAATTGAGGAATGTTGGGTTGCTTCTCTTCAGATTGAATTGCCTCGTTATTGTTTGTAGACGGCACTGAAGCTTCCTGGATGCGAAATACGGGAGGGAAAGCTGGGTTGAAAGAGATTCCGTTCTGAGCTTGGATGCTTGATGCTTGTGAATCCGTGACATAGTTCCCACCTAAACTTTCTGACTGCATGGGGACTTCGGAATCGACACTCGGATGGTATCTTCCGTTGTTTGAGAAACTATTCTCCCAGTCGGACACTCGATCTCGTAAGGACTGCCCATTATCACTACTTGAAGAACTCAGAAACTTTGCTTGATGAGATTCGCCAGACGTTGAAAACATTTGAAAGCTCTCTGCAGAATCATGTCGCTTTGGTTCTATCCTCTGAGGTGGCGAATCTCGTTTCGTATAGTCGAGTCGAAGAGGCTGTTTCCTAATTGGTGCATGATAGTCAACTTTTGGAGAAAATGAGCCCATACCGTAGAAGTCATACCCTTCAATACTTGATGTTCTGTGTTCATCAGAGTGAGGGGCTCCAGGCACAGGTATAGGACTAGGACTTGTTGAAGGTGAATGGACCGGTTCCGGAAGCTTTAGGATATCCTCCTCCACCGTTCTTAAACTATGCATGGCTTCTCGCGTCTCTTTAGCAACACTGTCGCGCATAGGACGCACAAGAGGAGTGGCAACATTTGATGTGCTCTCTATATCTTCTGAGCTAATTGACTTTCTTGGTCGGTGGCGTGGACTTTCATGTGGTGTTAAACTTCGGAGTGGCTTTCGAGGGGTATCGCCGCCGCCATCTGTTCCCAAGTCAAAGTCTCGTGTGTCTCCTTTCGACTTATCCTTTGGTTGAGGTTCTGGAATCGCTAGCCGAGTTTTGCGATGATATTCAGCACGTCTAGTTAGGAGAAGGTTCATAGTATATCCAAGGAGTCGCCATGTCTGAGCTAGACGGTAATGACCAACTTGCTCGGCCGTCCGTCCGAAGGATTCCAGGATCAAAGCTGTCCGGACATTGGTTGGACCAAAATCAAAGGAATTGTGATTTACCATCCGCAATAAATAGCGGTTTGTATAATATTGATAGGTTTGACGCTTCGCAGTGGAAGGTGCATGACCAATCGCCATGACTTGCTGGGGTTTGTAAAGCCCTGTAACCAAGACTGCTTCCTCCAACGACATGATATTATTATCGACCATACCAGTAACATTAGGAGGAGTTGTGCTTAGGGACTGAGTAGAGCGCCCGCTGTTCTTTCTTCGGTGGCCTTTCGGTCGCCTGGGACCCAAGAAACTGCCTACAACATCCTCTTCTGAATCACTTCTGCTGACGCTAAACTGAGGTGTATTAGAAACATGTTGAAAGCTCGGTGAAACTTCTGGTGATGTTATCGATGGACGAGAACGCCGTCTGGGAATGGGTCTTTCCTCAAGAAACATGAGGACAGTTCCTGTCGGGGAAAAAGCAAAGGTCGAAAGAGCTCGGCGATCAATAACTTTCGGGACAAATGCAACATCAGTTTGAGTGAAGTTGCCTTCTCTATCGACACTCCACAACAAATCGCGGGTATTCCAAAGAAGTCCGGTAGGTGAAGAATTCCACTGTTCGATCTCCTTGAATGGCAGAGACGGTCTTGCAAGATCCCATATTTGCACCGCTGAAGTTTGATATCTTGTGGTACTTGAGTCATCATACGCGACTGTGACTTGTGCAGCTCTATTTCCTTGCGCCGTGGCAGACCAACAAGCTGGTCGCCAAGAAATATTAGATACCAGAGCTGCCGTCGCAAATGTATATCGTGGCTTCTGTTTACTGTCGGATTTCATGTCCCATACGTGACAAAGTTGGTCCATACCACTACTAATCAGATGATCTCCATCTGGGTGCCAAGCAATGGAGAAAGTGTGTGAATGAGCTGCAAACTTCAAATAGGGAGAGCTGTTTCTCGATATATTCCATTTCTGGATCATGCCAGAATCCGTGCAGCATGCAAATTCCGTCCCAGTTGTGGGCGACCATTTGACATCCCGTACTGCTTCCGCATTGCACTTGAATGAAGCTATGGTTTTAAACGTCGGACCCCTTGGACCGGGTATAGGCTTGCTGATATCGAACCACTTAACCGTTCCATCCTGACTTGCTGAGAGAAGCCATTCGCATCTGAATGGGTTTATAGCCAATTTATGGACCTGCCGGGTGTGCTCTTGTATCCGTCCAACCTCCAGACCCTCCGCAACGCGATTCAAGTCATAGACGGTAATCCTCCCATTCCCACAAGCCGTTACAATCGTAGTATCCAGAGCGCTATGCGACCATTTGACGGCTTTGATATTGAGCTGGTCTTGTGTCGCAGCAGTTGGATCGTGGGCTGGCGCATAGCTGGTAATGATGGCGCGAAGGTCGAGCTCCTCCGTGATTGTAGAGCCCTCCACCTTTAGGATCTTGAAAACCTTTGGCCCTGCTATAACAGCTCTTTTCCCATCTACAGATCGGTCCAGGCAAGCAATGGGAGCTCCCGCAGAGAAGGTGGTATTTTGCGATGCGCTTGGTCGAAGTTGGGGCGAGTCGATGGTGCTCGAGTCGATACTTTCGCTTGGGGTTGCTGCAACTGGACGCCCCAATAGCTTTCTGATTGACATGTTCCCCTTGTTCATCCTGGCAGAATGGGTCTCCTTTATGGAGGCATCTTTGAATTGCCCATACGAAGAGTGGTGGTTGTGATGATAGCATCCTATCTTGAAGATCAATACTGTAACCGGCAGAATTCTGCGGGCGGTGAGGGGCATTGCATCGCATCGTTTGTGATTGGCCCCCTGTTCTACGCGAGCTCACTGGACGTAAAAAGCGACAATTGACGAGCAGGTCTCAGTTAATATTTATATGAGTTTTATGGATGCTTGTCGATCTTTTAAGTAAAGGTATGATTAGTCTATTTTATATAGAAATGTAACAAATGAGTTTAGTAAGTACAAATAGAGCGAAGCATTAAGGGTTAATAGTAATAAAGAGTTATAGATCTTGCGCCGAAGAAGTAGAAGTAGACTATTGAAATAGAGTAGTGATATAATCGAGGACGATTATGATGTGGACTATCAGTGTAGGCTATAGGAATTCCCAACATGCAAGAGAAGGGAATCTGGGATAGTGAGGAAGAAGGAGAAAAAATGGTTGAACCATAAAGGGTAGTATTATAGACTAATCATAAAAGAAATACAATAAGGGAATAGAAGGGGAGGAAAAGTTAATGGACCGCATAATATTACACCATAATGTCCGATAAAAGTTTAGGATTTGAAGTTAGTCCATGCAATTATGGTAGCTATTTTAGTTCTTATTCTGCCACTTTTAACCATTTTGCGGTACCCCATCTCCTCCCGTCCGTCCCAATCACTGGCAGTTCGTCCAAATGCAGTAAGGCTCGCAACCCTAGCATCCCCAAGTTCGCACGGACATAATATCCTTCCAAAGGTTTTGCATCTTCACCACAATACATGATCCAGATCAGAATGTTGGCTTCTTCCTACGCTCAGCGAGCGTGCAACCGTGGTCGGTGATGATACTTGCATGGTGGACGAGTCTATCGTGTGATGCGGGACAAGACAGTTCGCCATGCTAAGTCTGAGATCAAACCTGAATGATGAAGGGGTGTTAGCCTCCGAAATCCATTCAAGGATTTTTTATAATAAGAGGGAATTGGGGGTCCAGATCAGAATGCCGGTTCTTCCTTTTGTCTTTTTGATCATCATGATATATATCAGATGTTGATATTTCATCATCATGGACCGATTAAACACTACCACAAGAAATTGGGGTACACTTAACCAAAAAAGATCAGTGATGATACCCCACAGGAGGTCTGGCCACCAATCCGCGTGGACGTGTTCCATCAGTCCATCAGGAATGGTTGGACTCCTCCGTGTCTGGTCTGAGATCGGAATGGAAAGACAAGTCTGGCGAGGAGAGAACGGGGTCGACGAGGACTATTCAACTTCCAAGTATTAGCATAGTTCCTTCTGCAGATTATAAAAGCCGATGCTCTGTAGCTGGCTACCTTGGTGTGCCAAGTGCCACATTCAAGGTGTAGAAGGAAGGACTGACTTACTTGCATTCTGTTCTCGCGCTTGATTGCTATGCTTGTTGTGCTAGATACCATGAGGAGACAGGGGCAGGACTCTATTTGCGTATAGTCTATGCGTTCCAATGATTAGCAAGTGCTGTTCGAGCGTGCGACGTCCTCGTCGTGCAGTTCTGGTATCGACCGACCGCAAGGTGCATCAGGGTGTTGGAAATGAGCGAGGACCACTTACTATTTCTTGCGACCATCGTTGATCATCTGTCTCAAAGCTCAATCTTCTTCTAGGACAATACATAATGGAGGGTTTCGGGGGGTGGGGGGACCGAAGTGTTCAAGTGGATAGAGGTGGGAGAAGGAAGAGAGCGAGGTGAGAAAGCAAGGACTCTCTAATCTTGATTAAGCCTTTAATTTTCTTCCAAGTATGGCAGGCATGAACAGTCTTTCAAGTTATCAACTAAAAGTATTATATATTTCTAGCGCTGAGTATAAACTGTGTGTTGTTGGAGAGGAAGGATCCCCTTGACATCAAAATATAAATATTAGGGCAACCCAAATAACCCAAGCACAGTCAACTCCTATGAGTATCTCTGAAGAGGAAAATATTATCTTAGAGGGAGAAAAGTTCTCTGGCACAAAATAAGGAAAAGATCAGGAAATTTAGTTTCTACCGTCCAACATTTAAGACACCCAGCAAGAACCAAGCAGCATGCGTATTATGTTATGTTTTTAACTGCTTCGCAGCATGCCTGAGTTTTTTTATTTTTTTTAGAGCCACCAAAGAAAGCCTAGCAAGATGAAAACAAGTAGCCCAATAGACTGCAAGTCAAAGGTAGAGGCTGCTAATGGTATGTGTTAGTAAAGGGGTTAAATTACGTGGACACTTTCACAAAACATCTTCTTGTGTGCATAGTATATTCTCTTTTTCAAGCATGCCTTGATGGTCTAGATATCTAGAGGTAATAATTTAATACGCAAGTTTAAGTAATCGTTGACTCGCAGTACTATTCCAACATGAGGCGGACGAACAAACTACCGATACCTGGACACTGGACATGGAGCAGAGCAGACCGGTGTACTCTTTAATAAATATCTCTGTTAGCTAGAGCAGTTGGATCTGAGTGAGAGTAATTTCCTGCTCACAATACATCTACTTGCTCTTTTTGAGACATGTCGGCTTATAATTCATTTAAGCAGCTACTCCTATCTTGAATCCCGGCAAGATTAGGCAGGTGCGCTCCAAGTCCGTGACTCCAGCTTCCATCAGTTTAGTCTCCGCTTACTGGCTTTTAGAGACTAGTGGAGCCACGCAAAATGGACATTCTTCTATCGCACTCCTCAGAATCGACCGTTGATCCTACTAAGTCACAATGGACTATATATCAAGTGAGCCGAATACTATATACCTATGATGCAACATCCTTCCGCAACGCTCTTCGTGTTAATCTCCAGCTCGAATTACATATAACATTAACCATCCAATCTTTCGCTTTGAACTGGTCGCAGCAGAGAGCTGCAATGATCATATTTAGCGATACTCCTTCCAGGCTATACTCAGATGGGGCTGGTGATACCCGCGGCAAAACAACAGGATGGGGAGTGGACATTGTTTATCTATTATCTATATAAAACGATATTATGTATATTAATACACACTTTACAGGTTTTACTCCTATTTCCCCTCTTGATAACAACGAGGAACATTTAATTGAGTAAATTGCTTAGTGTGAATTAAGAACTCTTGCTGACATATAGTTATAGCTATATTGCTATACATAGCTGGGGAAGTTATGCACTTGGAGGATTTAAAGCCTATAATAATACTTATATGTAGCTTCGAGATTCCCTAGCCAAGGATGTTCCTTGATTACAGAAATTTATATATAGATACGCGTATGATTTAACTACGGCCCAGTGGGTTTGCATTTTTGAACTGCTAGAGACATAATCAATACTATAACCAAAAACAGACTAGTGGCATACTTCTACGGAGCGTCTTTCTGAGCTCCGTTGACCAACTGCAATTCCTAATAAGACCTCCGGTCCCAGCAACCCGATACAAGCAAGGCCAAATTTGTCGCGAAACTTCAACTAGGGAGTGTCAGATAATGCGGGGAGGACATACTGTGGTCCAGCAGCAGAGACCAATAGCGAAAAGATATGAGAACATGGTATCGGCAGTGCCACGCACATTCGGGGACGGGGTCCAGCCTGAAATGCCAGTCCCGGTAGTAGAGTTTGAGCTGTTCATTGAAAGCACATGTAACCTAGACGGACTATAAGAAAAGTCGATGAGTAACAAACTGGCATATGGAAGAGGAGAGGGGCTGGACGATATCATTGTGATATAAGTATATATTCCAAGTAAGATATCCTAGGTAGCTTACGTTTCAACCTCCTCCTTCTTGCCTCCTTTCAAGAAAGAGGCTTGACATATGGAATAATATGTCAATCAGATATCGTTTCTATGAATAGATATTAGCACGCAACCGCTTCGCGCAGACTTCTATTCACAACGACCAGCACACTGCTAATAAGGCTGCGCCCTTTTTGAACATGCACGTGGTGCATGTTTCACAAGCTAAGAGCCACCACTTTTATCAATAGATGTTTTTCCCCCCTTTATAGATTTCTGGACCTTTTACCGCGTTCAAGTGCTATCGCTACTTGGCATGGCCACAAATAATAAAACTCAACAATCGGCTTACAATGTACTCATAGACGCCCCCCTCCTTTTCTTGATGAATCTGGAGCACTTGATGTTCAATTTTATGCATTACAACGATTGATTTTATTGGAGGTATGGGATTTAGATGAGAACTAGTATGGCGCTTAATAGAAGTGCAATCATTTACATTGCCATTGTGCTAAAGTAGAAAGCTAAGGACTCAACTATAATGTGCTGTATGTGGAAATATCCAGATTATGCTTAGTAAGCGAGGTCGTTGTAACTTGCTACCATAGTGCTAACACAAAACCCAGAGGTTTCGGGGTTGCTGGTGTGTTCTAATACTTTTCTTAGGCTTCTTAGACACTTCTGACTATACATTTATTCATAAGAAAGAGAAGGCAGATTGCCAATCAGTAGCCCAGCATTGAATTAGATATCTCCTATAAAGAAAAGATAATCCTGGAAAATACTATGGCATAGATGAAGTGACTGTTCCGTTTGTTTGCAAGTTGCTTTGAGGCACTTTCTGACAATCTCGCCTAAAATAGGGGGTCATATCTAAGATTCATTCATCCGACGTCGCGATTGTGAACAAGCACAACGACTATGTGGGATTTGTGGGATTCGTCAGAACTGTACTCGGAGTCATGGAATTCTAGACTGATTGAATCTTCGATGGTTCGTTATAAGGGATAAACTCAGCGCCGTTATGACTGCGCTGCGAAGCTGATGATAGATATAGTGCGATTGTACATCCCTAACATTCTAACATCCTGCTCTTTTGACTTCTAAGCTCTTCTTGAACGGGTGAATTAGACGCAGCTATCGGGATAAAAATACAGTACAAGTAATTCTTAATTATCTTCTTGCCCCCAGCCTACTTACTGTACCACATAACAGCCAAACAGCCCAAGATCCAAGTGTCCAAAAACACGTACCTAGTCTCACCCATCTAATCCAGGCGTTCTAATGGCGAGGGATACCGGGGAAAGCACAGACGGACAGGAAGCAAAAGTCCTAACCTACACGCAAGACAAGAACCG